TGAAACACTTAAGCTTTGCGCAGTCCACGTGCCCTGAACATACCCATTATAGCTATTATTGTATAATGACTCCTGTTTTTCTACATGTATTTGTCTGCAACGAAGAGGTTTCTTGACGTACTTTTATGTAACGTATCCGTCGTCGGTATAATCTTTACCATATGTTCTTGTATTATTTTGGATAGACTCCGGTTATCATCAACTATAACATAGACGCGGGAGGCAAAATGGGTGCGACCAGGGCTCTTAGGTAATTAAAATAAGACGATAAAATCTCCGAAAGACCGTAGAGTTTTTTTTATTGAAGCTGACACAACCTTGTAAACAAGCCGAATTCCGTAATAACGAGGGTGCCTCCAATAATAAGTAAGCGCTTAAATAATGCCATATTTGAAAGTAGAAATAAAGCGGGGAAATAACCACAAGTGTTTTAAAATCGTCACAAACTTTGCCTCTGATCTTCACAGCTGTTCAAAATTTTCGTCAAATTTAGGCATTATTTGAGGCCCGCTCCTTCAATTTGCCTTTTAGGTACAAGTACTATCCGACTGCATCCAAAACAAAAAAGATCTGTGGCGGTATTTACTTCTATGAAATCATCCTAACGATTAGTTTCTTAATTTTTTTTTCTTAATTAATTTCTTGCATTTCGGCCTAACATAGGAGAACGATACGAGAAAAACCCGAAAGATAAATCGTCGTGAGTGTTTACCTTGCTTTGTTCATACAAAACGAACAGTAATGTTTTTGTCGTTCGCACGCCTGAAAGCTTATACGGCAACTGGGATAAAGATTAAAGATGTCTTAGACATTTGTTGTCCTATATCGGCCTCACTACCAAGAGAACGCCATTATTGTTAGTGATTTTAGCGGCCGATGTGCAGTAATACGACTAATGAACGCGCCCCTTGCCCTGAAACAGACGGTATACAGACGAGTACTTATGAAAGTAACCAGTTTCACTGATAGTTGCAGTCTCATCAGATGCGGATACGCGACGTCATTGGAGCGCCTCCCGGTGGCTTGCGGGGTCACAAGCGTGTGGCAAACATATATGGTATATAGTCAGAGACTTGGTAGGACAAGTAGACCGTGAATAATGAATCACAACTAGAAACAGGTAACTATTATGCTATATTTTGGCAAATCGTATATCGTGGTCTAGATTCGATCCAGGCGTAGACAGGAATACTGAGAGCCAGCCATTTGTCTGATAAGACGCCTAACGACGATACCGGGCGTGAAAGCTGAAGGCTTACCGCGTAAAGCGATTTATTTGTACTATCAAATGACAAAATCTAAAGCGTCCCCGATCCATATAAGATACGTGAATGGTATGACAACTTTACTAGAGCGCGATACTCGTTTCAAACATGTGATATCAATGGTTCTGCCGGTGGATAGAGCAAAAAACAGAAAGGTATAACTCTAACCTTTGTTTTTGCTCACGATAGCAGTCTTGGATAATTTGGAATATCGGAAGCTCTTGATACGAGTTGGTCGCGTTAATTTTGTCCCCCAAGACACTTGCGTCCAGTTCAATTAAAGGGGGCATTTGCGAGCTGTGCACTATTTCGAAAACCACAACACTAATTATAACATTAGGATAACGATAATAAACATGAAAGAACTAAATGTTCGGCTTGGACACCAGCCAACGCACGTTCGGCGTGCAACCGATCTTATCATGAACCTGCGATCCCAAACAGTTTGTCCATTGGTATGAAGCTTGCTAGCGGTGGGATAGGCCGCCGGATACCCAGAACGTTAATCGACCAAAATAACTACCGTAACTTTTTTGTTCATCTAGTGTTTAAACGAGCTGAAAAACGTACGCTTTACACGCAAAATTCGTTCTCCCCAAACGTAACGCTCCCCCAATACCGATAGCAGCTGTACAAATTGCACTTGTTAGACACGTACATCCCTAACAGATTGCAGGAAGCGGGTTTTGTTAAATTCCCTTTTTGTTGCTATCGCTTTAACTGTGATACACGAGTGTCATGCGTGAGAGATCAAACGAATGGGGCGACCCAGTCGATACGTCCTGGTTGAACTGGCTAATCGTTGTCCTACGCACAAAATTAATTTTTTTCCTTACCGCCTGCCTGGCTGGCTGCAGCTACAAAAGGAGCGGCCTGCAAGGTCACTGGGTGATTCCCGCAAACAGATATTTACGCGTCTATTTTACGCTTGCTGCTAATTACCTAAAACCGACATAGATCTATTTTGTATGGTCTATGGGTCACGTATATCTTGAGAATGCGAAAATGTGGAGAAGAGACATTGTTACAGTATGTTTGATGGTGTTTGTGAAATCTCGCTGATACCTATTTCAAGTCGAAAAATTACGATCAGCCATCAGTGTTGATGGTTCTATTAAAATGATAACAAAATCCAACACTCTACCGATCTACAAAAACAAATCAGCTCAACTTCAACTTGTTTATACAGTCTGTCAATTTTGCGCATCAGACATATAATGAGCCACACTCAAGCCTTCAGCAAGTCTTCAATAGCCTGAACAGGCTAAACAATGTCGAACATAGAAAATATCGGCGAATCCCAACCGGAATCCGATCCGCTCCTCTACAAAACTATAGTATCCAATCGCGGTAACAGTTTAGATTGTTACTCTTATGTAATCCTTATCAGGCCCATAGTTATTCCGATATCGACAATGATAACGACGAAAGACAAGAATATATTCTATTAGACTGATCTGACGGCTGATCGGACTCGGGGTACCCGGCAGCCCTTTTTCTGTCCACTGTAACGCCAGTGAACTTCACACTTTTCCATGAAGCAATATTAGTCATTTGTCAGCACGTTCAAAGTATACTGCGTACCTTGCTTGCGACTTGGGCCTGTTGAACGTTGTCACATCTACTGTTAATAAAGTAAAGGTACAAAGTACGACAAGGTTTCATTATTTAGTTAATTAACGGGAGATCCGTCTACCCTGCACAGGTATCAGTGGCTATATGTAAATACAAGCTACAATTGAAAGTTTTCGCGGCACATTTTTGTGTAGATTATAACGTTCATTGGTAGCCAGGCCCCGTGCAGAGTGAACCTGGTCAGACAAAGCAAGACTATTACTTACGGTTTTTTTGCCAATTTTATGGTTGCATTTATAATTCACTATCTTCAATGTGTGTTCGGTTGCATTCGGATAGTATTATAACAGTAACGTACTTTTATCTTTCAGCCAGGCCCAGCTAGCTTAACTAGAGCCCAACGGAAATGGAAATAATACTGCCCCTTTCAAACACCTTCGTGTTTTGTTAGCCGCTCAACAGTGAATTCAATGGTTTACTTGGGTTCCGTTACACTGAAATATATACGCAATACATCACATTCGGCTCGCTACCTTCCTATGAGGCCGTCTTCGCTTAGGGCATTGAGCCCGAAAATGCGGAGAACCCGTTATACTAGCACAAGTTAATATGCAAATTAACTGTAGTTATAATTATAGGGAAGGGATGTGAGTTTGTTTGAGCGTAAGTTGCAACGGCGCAGGCTTGAAGTACGATAGATACCGCGAGCGAGAGACAACGACAAGTCGAACAGAGCTTAGCTTGAAGCTTGAGATGAAGCTATCACAATGCCTCGGACCTTGTCCGAGAGCATAATTCGATAGTATTAATACATAAGGTGCCCAATCCCAAGCAAACTGAGTGTGGCTCATCCCTGATCTTTGGTTCCCACCTCACATGTGTCCCAAGTCTTCATAGGCAGACACGTTACCAGTGAAAAGCCTCGGGGGATTTTCTCTTGTGGCAGCATTTGTGTGATTTTTGTTACCACCAATGCTCGTAAGTTTTTATATGGTAAGAGAGAAGGCAGGTTTTTTTAATAACAGCCAGAATAGCGGCCGGTGGCGTGTGCACAGAAAAATAAACATCTTTTTGGCATTCTATGAAATCCGATTCAACGGACCGGAAGTTGCATTAGGGATTTAGAGACAGGTTTGCTACTTTCTTCAGTGTCATGCCTGCACAACGAGCATGTCCATCATCTGGGCTACGCTCTCGTAGAACGCCCGTACTATATCTATATTCAAGTAGTTTCTATATATTTAGTGGTATCTATATCGCCACAAAGTCCGGTGACGTATATTCGTACATGATACGCCTTATGTGGTGCCTTTATGGCCTTCATTCCTGTAGGCACTGTAATGCTTGTTTGTTTGTGTGCGACTGCTGTTTTCGGTGTTGTAGTCGTGTTACGGCTACGAATCGTAGCAGAAATCCTTTTGTAGTATAGCAGCGGTAGTCGATGTTGTTGCCGGCAGGAAAAGAGAGATCGTGAACCTTTTTCGGCTTCTCCCCGGTTGCACACTTCAGCGCCATCGCTCACAACGAGCTGCGAGCTAACTCTTCCGACGGCAGTCCGCTCGGAGTTCCGTAGCTCTCAGACAGTCGACGAGCGCCGGCCGTCTTCAACCGCGGTGCTCGGGCTACTCCGCGTGAGGTTCCCGGCGGCGGGAAGAAGTAGCTCTCTTCTTCTAACTGTGCCTCGACCACCGCCGCGGCCGCCGGTTCCGCTGCCAGCCGGGAGCTTATTATGTAGTGTGCTCGTGGGTGGCTTGCGCTTTCTAGTGCGTCGGTGCAGTTGGTCCGCTCGATGGGTCCAGTAGTCAGGCACGTCGGCGGCGGCGCCTGTGCTCCGTCTCGGCGCTCTCTGAGTGGCTCCGGAGCAGCGGAGTCTCCTCCCTCCGAGAGCCTGCCCTTTCCCTCGACTCGCACTGCTGTACTCACTCACTTGGAACTCCGCTGGCGCCGCCGTGACTGCATCTAGAGACTGGAGGCCGCTGCTGCTGCCGCGGTGAGCGCTGCCGAACCGGCGCCCACAGCGGCGGTAGCTGGCGGCCGCTACTGCTGGCTACAGCCGCGCCGAGCTGCGCAGGCTCGGGGTCCGGACTCCCGGGCTCTCTCAGTTAATTATCTGACGATACACAGTGCGTTCGCTAGCTCCTGCCACGACCACTGCAAGCAGCAGCAGCAGCAGCAGCTGCAGCAGCAGCCAGTAGCCAGAAGTCGCGCTGCAGCACTCCGGCCTGTATCGACTCTGTCATAGACATACGACTGTCTCTGTTCTATGCGCCAGCAGTAGTACTCTACGGACACGTTCAGATCTGAAGTCCGACTCGAACTATCAACCCACCACGAGGCAAAGGAGTAACGCAAAAGTAACACCGCCGCTGAGGCTACTTCAGTTATTAGTTGAAGTACGAGTTCGAGATCAGTTGCACTCCGAAGTCCACTGGTTTCTTTGTGAGGTGCAGTTGATTTGGCTGCTTCGGCACTGAGCTCATTTGGATAGAGCTAGTTCTTTTCAACTGCAAGGAAGTTGTTTCTATCCACAAGTTGGACCGCTTCAAATGGACTTAGTACGTGCTACTACTAACTTAGTCTATCATAGCGAACATTAGCGTGTACGATCAGATTCATTAAGTTCTACTGCTTGTTAGTTAATATTCTGGTGTAGAGTATATAGGCACAGTAGCCTTGTAAGCTATTTGACGCGCATCTGTATAGCGAAAGCATTGTTTTAATTTACTCACACTCTAACAGTGAGGTCGAATCGGCTCTTAATAAGCATTTGTACAAAAGATCGTTTCTGCGACAAGCGAAACTCTTCTAGATGCTGTGTGTTCTCCAATGAACTTTTCCGCCCACTTCTTTGATCGATAGTGCATTATTGGTACACGCGCGGTCCACCGTGTGATAATAGCAGCTCGAACAATTCGCAAGCGGACCGGGTCGAAGCGTTTGCTTCGACGTCTTCACGATAAAAACTTCACGATAACATGTTCCAGAAGTCGTACAACAGAACGCCACTGTGCAATTGACTGTATTGTGTCTAATAAGACGGACCCGTTCTATCAGTCACAGAAAGCACGCGCTGCGAATTTGTGAACGTGTTTAAGTGTGATCATCGCTACGTGTATGTGTTTCAGTGATCTTCTGTATTCAAGCGTAACTTAGATACGTACTACTTTCCCCTCAGGCAACCCTTGGCCACAACACGGCGTTCGCAACGATGAGCATAGCTGTAAGTATTCATAGTAAAGTTTCAGCCAAAATATATCTGTGGCACCGTGATGCAATGCTGGATACGTCTCCGTACGAATAATATAATGCAAGCGGGTAACGCTCTATTATAATGCTCCCTGAATAGGATCCACCCGACAACAGCTACAAACGCCTTTGTTCAGGCATACGGGAACTAAAATGTGCGTTCGCGACCCCCGAATCAATGTTAGTAGGGAATCGATCCGCATTGAGCGGGTTCGATAGGCCGCAAGCTCTAGCTTCAGAACGTCCTTGCAGGCGAAAACGCCTCCTATATGCCCGGCCCCGGGCCAGCTCTGAATCCCGCCTATTTTCCCATGAATGCACCTACCCGCTCGTCAGCGCTTCGTAAGGGGTAACAGAGCCTGTGAACACACAGTTACAGAAGGTAGACGTCATTTTGCCTGATCAAGCCAAATCGACTAATCAATCATTTAATTTCATTCCGGCGACTGTTAGGTGTGCTTTGTGAGCAACAGTGTCTCAGGCCGCGTCATCAGTCTGGCTTTCCCCGATATTGATTGACAGGCAGGAGTAGGGCCCGACAAGGGGCATTTAGTATAAGCTAAGTTTCAGTTCCTCTTACCTAAGGTAAATCGGGGACGGGGCAGGAGGAATTGAAAGTCGGCCGATTTTTAATGCGCACAAGTGCTCGCGATCAAAGCTCTCTATCCAGCAGCTACTGTGTGCATCCATAATTGATCATGCTAGAGTCTGCTCTATAGATAAGATGTACGTAAACTCCTGCCGTGATCCCGTATATGCGGCAAATTATACCCCGCCATGAACTGCTACTAACAGAGAATATGCTACTGGTTGGTGAGAAATGCAGTGAATCATAGGGCCTACAGTGATCCGTTTCTGTCCCTTGTCAGCGTTTGTAACAGTTAGCTAGTTATGGCTCTAGTTTTAGCTGTCCATTAAAAAGGTGCGTATTGGAGTTTTTTTTTTTTTTTTTTTGCCGCATCCATTATCTTTCGTAGTAGAATAGAATGCGAATGTTCAAGCCAAACAGACCCAATATTTGGGGAGGGAGTGAGCATTTGAACGGGTTTCACAGTGGCACTCCCTTTGATTATTTCCCACCGATATCGTTTTTATTTCGTCGTCGCTATAACATTTTTATATGCCTCCCGTTGATGTGCTTCTGTGCTTTTCTGTAGATCGCTTCGTACTTCTGTGCTTTTCGTAGCGCCACTTGAGACAATCAATTGCGAATCCTATGAGAAGTGCGTAACTGCACTATGACGCGCGACCCCAGAAAAAGACACCCGTAGAGGCGATACGGATAGCGACACACGGCTGGTGGTTCCCATTAAAACCTATAGAGAATTACGTCGAGCTAAAGATTGGCTTTATGACCGTGTTACTTTTCGTATGGCGTCATAATTTCTCAAAGCGACGTTTTCTCTCTCGACAGATTAGTTTTCTATCAGCACAGAGGGTCTGTTATGGCATTGAGATGCGAGATTGTGCCTTGTTCGAATGCTCATTGATACGTTTGAAATACTATTAATAACCGACTTTTTGTTAGAGAAAAAATAGTTATCTTCTTTTCATCGAAAAAGTTATCATTCAAGCAATACTCCTCATTAAAGACTACGAGAAGCTGCGTGTGATAATTTTTTACCAGAGAACAAACCATGTCCTCCTCCTCGAAGGTAACTGACCATATCCAAGTTGACAGTCGTGCTCACAAGTACAGTCTACACATACAATTCTAGTATATAACTTAGCCAATGCAAAATCTCTTAACTCGTGTTACCCGTTTAATAGGTAAGATTATCATCGCGTTACGCTCTATGGAGCTGCCGCTCGCTCAATACCAAGACATGTTTCTGCAAGTTCGTATTGCTCGACGCTAGCGTCTTTCTCTGCGCTCGGTTTCGGGTCGATAATGCTTGCAAGCAATTTAGATAACTTCACGCAGAAAAGCCTTTTCATTTGCTCGTCGAGTCAATTAGCTGGCTTACGGCTAGCCGCTAGCCGTCTGTTGGTGGGGAGATTTGTATGACGGTGTGCTTTTTACGAGACGTGCCGAATCGGCCAGATGATCGTTTCCGCCAGGTAACTGCTTGAGCTTGTATCAGTAATAACAGTACAATAAGGCAGTGATTCTTTTTCATACTCTAGAGCGTTTTGGTTTCTTCCATTGTCTATTCTGGTGATGCTATTCAGCGTAGCGAGAACGAAATCGTACCTTCAAGTGTCCTCTCGAACCAGATACATAAAGGGTAACAAACAATGATGATGAACAGGGGCTCTGAAAAGGACAACGCTAACCTTAAGCATACACTAGAATATTGTATTTTCATCGTAGTTCTATATGCTGCTAGTTAAACCTTAGAGTTCAAATGATTAGAATGGGTTTTGATGTGAATCCCAGCGTGCAGAGGGCCTTTGCCTTTGATGCACCCATCATATCCGGACGACCTTCCTGTCTGGCCTTAAAGGTACTATCATGACCCTGCTATAGCGAGCTACTTAGAATTTGCTGAATAAATATAACTAATCTAATTAACTGGTTCGTTTTCGGTAGCTGGACGGTACGTTCATTCGAAGGTGCACATACAGTAGATAAAATAGTATGAGATTAACACCCCACCAACAATAACAAGGTCGACAATAGCCATTAGTCAGCCCGTAAGGCCATCAACGAGAAGCAAAAAAACCCTATACTAACTGAGATACGCACATATATATATATATATGTGCGTATTACTGTGAGAGGAATGAGTTCTAGTCACCGAGCAAGTCCACATTGTATTTCTCAGAAGAACGTACTTTAACAAGCAATTGAATGAACGACGAACGACCCACCTTTAGGTTCCTCTGTCTTCAAACCTGCACCTGCATACTGTCAGAGTTGGGAGTTCAAATACCGTTTGTTCACAGTAGAATAAAACAGAATGTATTGAGATTAGTAATAATAATTTTTGGCTATATACGAAACCACCAGTAACCTCGCACCATTTAGAATCTATTGAAGTCTGCTAATTAGTAGCCAACCTTTTGTTTTTTAATTATCTGTCTTGCTATTATATTAGTGGCACTCATGGTGGAGTGTCTGCCTCATTAGCGTTACAACAATCGCTAGAATGTAGGTGATAACAATCTTTCCGCTCTAAGTAGCTCGCTATGTAAGAAGCCCGCAGAGCTAAGATCTCGATTGGTTATCTCTGGAGGAACAAGCCCCGTGACAATATCGCGTCTCGATACTTAAAAACAAATCTATCGCTGGTAGGTGATCCAAACAGGATCGTTGTAGCAGTTATTCAGTCGGTGGGGTCATCAATAGCACCTTCTTCCCCCAAAAAATGTTCACTCTCTAAAGTGCACACCATGAGCTTCTAACTGGCCTACCTGGTCTCGTCTACGAGCACTCGTTGTTGGAAAATCAGGAGTCGACAAAGGAGGGGTCAAACGGAAGGCCAAACAGGAGGGGAGGGGACAACTAGAGGTTACTTCGCCCTAGAAACGCAAACGAACACCAGATGATAATACTGTCTATCACTGACGACAGCAGACGCCCAATAATAGCGTCGAACTTCCTCGAACGCAATTCAGTTAGTACAACAACAACAACAACAACAACAATACCGACGACAACAAACCAGGCGAGCACATCGGCACATCTCCATTTTCTTCCGTCCGGTCGTTTCATCTCTATCTAGTAGTGTTTTCTCTCTTGCTCCATGGCACTCTTTAGAACACCAACTCCTTCCAGATCTGTTTGAGGTGTCTTACTGCAGAAAGGTCCAAATAGGCAGCGGCTCTCCTATATCATTTACAACAACCCCCTGGAGTTAGTGAAACCCGGACAGTTCGTCCTGCTCGGGCTGGGCCTACTCATTAGTCAGCGCTTTTGTTTTCGGGGAAAGCACGATGAGCATGGACGCGCTCAGCACGTATCGTTTAAATACAGATAGGCCATTGAGGCTGACTTAAACGGTGGCATTCGACAAACCCGCAATTCAAAGAAATACAACAGGAGAAGAAAAACATTAAACACAGAACGAATTGTAGTTGTTAACACTGGTTGGCGTATCGGTGTGCAGTTCTATATCAAGGGGCAGGGGGTATCCACAGTCCAATACATATATATACATTTCGAACGGACCGAGCCTGACGCACTCGCTACGATGGGATGGGGGCGGCTGTGGTACGCAGTAGTACATGGATACTCAAAGATACTCTCACTGTACAATTGAGATAGCCAGACATTCGTGGTCTTCTGCCCCCTTGAGGGGAACGATTTACCCTAAAGTGCCAACCTAACATGCAAATAGTTGATAGAATCTTTAGCCGAATTAGCTATTTAGAGATGATCTTGACTCTAGAAGGGACCGAAGTCACTTAAAAAGAAGCGACTTCGTAGACGATTGTGCCAATCACTGAACATCTAACTCATTTAGTCTAAAAGCCCAGGCTTTTAACTGTCTGAAAGCGCTATCACTCAAAGGCAAAGTGTGGGCTTGACACTGGCTGATATTCCCATGATATCCGGAAAGTTAAGTGGTAAATCAGATTCCCTTTACAACAACTGATCAGCTCTATGCAATGCACAAGTATTTCCGGCGGCGTTAGACAAGTTGTTGTAAAGAACTAGACCGATGCATTACATAGGAATCGTTTGCTCGTACTAAGTGCGGATTGTGTGGCTGCTTACGTTGATCTGAGCAGGCGGTATTTCCAACAGGTTTTAAACAGGGCATTTTTTAAATTGTTATTTGCAAACGTCCAAAGTACATTTTTACCCCTTCGCCTAACCAGCCCAGCGTTTTTTTTTGCCATATTTGAATTGGCATATTAAAGCCAACCATGCGCACTCACACAGCCAATACATTATATATATAGTTATAGCCGACGCCGATTAGCTTTCCGCATCTGTTTTCATCAAGTTACCACACAATACGGAATAGATGCGCTTCTCGAAGGTAAGTCATTTCTCATACAAGTTTGTAGCATTCCCCTGACCATGGGAAGTTACCCACGAAGCAGCTGATCCCGCAGTCGCAGGTCCCCATCACTTTCGAAGCTTTTCGCCAACCCCGAGTTACTCCTGTCGGAACGGGTGTTACTCACCGCGGCCACGGATCTCTCCATAGAGCTTTCAGCCAAAGCTCGATTGAAAGTGCTGACAACCAACCTCCTCTCCTTTATCCCCGACAAGTGGCGAGCCCGTTGGCGGGGGTAGTCATTGCCGGTTCAGCTGCGCGCTTCGCAACTACGAATAGCTCGCAGCTTCATTTCCAACTGGCGGCATTCACTGGCCACTTAACTCTAAATGTAAACACTATTGCAATAGCGAACGATGACGGCAATCATAATAACAACAGCAGCAGCAACAGCAGCAGCAGCTGCCGTTACACATACGAACGCCGGATTGAGTTGGGCTGGCGGTGCAGTGTGGGTCATAGGCGATGCGACGATGGAGGGATTTGACTTCGCCGTTCAGCTTCATTCTAAACCCAAATTCGATTAGAGCTCGAATGCAGTCTGTGCAATATATGTATGCGTGGAGAGGTGGGCTATAACGTTGCCAATATGGCGTTTATATTATAGCACTAATTAATGCTGATAGTGTCTATCGCGCACATATCAGGGTGAAGTAATGATGCTGCCAAATCTTCAACCCGATGGTGTGATGTTGATAGATTAATTCGTAAAATTTTGTATATGTAACATTTACATATATTGCTTTTCACCTTTTGTGTCTCTATAGAATTGGAAAATGCTAGCTGGTGATATCGGTCGAAGATTGAGGAACTGCTTAGGTTTATAGCAACTCATCTTCACGATTCAAATGAGCACTGCTTGCGTAACGGGCAGATAATCGATTCCTTATCAGACAGCGGACTCCTCCATAGGTTTTAGCACATATTATGCACCTGGCATAAGCAGTCAAATTCGTTAGAGATAGAGTAGGACCACACCCTGATGCCGGCGTTGATACCCTGGTGGCCGTTACCGGAGGGAAGTCTTCAAGAACTTTTTAACATTTTGACCAAAGTTTGTTGACTTACGTCGAGCAGGCGTATTTAGGCAGCACGAACCAAACCGCTCACAGCCTACAGAGAGTTAGAAGATTTTACAATTTCCCCTTCGAACCCATGCTTCTTTGCATCGCCTTGTTACACCGTCAAGTAATCAAACGATTCTACAACGACGCAGTCAACCTTGTTGGGTGCTGTCTGTAGTAAAAAGCGGTTCTCGACCACACGTCTGCTTTTCCATAGCCATCTTTACCTAAATACGCTGCCATTGGCTCGTCAAAAAGCCAACAGAAGCAGTCAAAGCCCGTTGTACCGACTAGATTCATCGGATTTGGGCCGTCTTCGGCCAATAAAGCGATGAATCGTTTTCAGCTTGCCTCGTCAAGAGTCTTCTTTCTTAGCGCTTTCCTTGTAGGCTGTGGCACGGTCGAGTGCGCGAACCGGCGTCTAGTAAATTTCTCTCTAGCTCGCCGCTACTGCCGCCGCCGTTGCTGCTGCTGCTCCCTATTTCTATCGTACTGAGAAATGTCTTCATGAAATGAATGGCGGAATTCCACATTCAATTGGCCTGATACGAAATCAATGAGTTGAGTTGGCTCAACTGCGCGCCGCTAGACATCGATGAGATCTGAATTGGGGTTGTGATGCCATCCCGGATGGCGAAAGATAACGCTGTGAGTGACCCGACGGACCTCACAGATAGGCTCTCACGATGGAGTTTGTTCTATAATGCATCGATAGTCACCGACAGACTAACTAACGAAACCTCGTGGGCGAGCTCAGGCTACACAGGAATCGAATAGGACGCACTCGATCGAAAGGTGCGCCCAGTTGCAAACGAGCTTCGGATTTGCCACACATGAAGGCCACTATTAGTCTGTACATGAAGGTGTCTTTGTTTGAGCGCATTTGAATTGAAGGTCCGCGAAGAGATCAAACTGTTCGATGAAAAGAGTGATGCACTAGATCACTTTGTGGGTGGCACCCATGCGTCGAAGCTCGTTGGCGCTGAGGTGAGGCAGCCTGAGTAAGACAACATTTGACAGGTTGACATCGTCTTTATTTATGAAATCTCCTACAGGGTTAACGTACCAATTCGACTGCACGATAGTAGATGCATGCGGTATGAATCCTATATTTGTACAACACGAACTCACTTAAGACATGTTATAATAGAAAGTAAATACGATGCTTTTCATTGCTTATGAGTTAAGCACATCTTTTCTACTCGTTTCTATTTCCAAAGCTACGATAGATCGTATTAAATGTATAATTAGATAAAGTGCACCAAATGAGACAATCTCAAATAAACGCAATAGAAATAAATGTTAATATCTCAAAGTTCGATACGGCATGATTTATAACTAATATGTCAATGTAACTGTAGCCGTGTCTGACGTCAAAATACTTGCCGCATCCTCTGCGAAGGCTCAGCTTGCCGATGGTTCACTCAGTTATTGAGAGCCGTAAACGATATTCGGTCAGCGTACACGTGTATATCTCTATTTCGCGTTCTGGGACACAGCCACTGCTGCTTCTGTTTTTCTTCACGTTCGTTCTTCTCGGGTGGGACCGGTCCTTCTTCCTTTTTTGAGCCTCGTTCTTATTCTTCTTCGTTATCGATGCGGGATGAATTTTCAGGAAAGCCAGGCATGTGGCGGCAGCACTGCAATGTCTTCAGCGCCCTCCTCGCCCGTCAGCTATACGCCACCCTCACCGACCTCCGATTCGGCGCACGAATCAGCGCTCAAAGCGCAGGCACAGGCGCAACAAGCAGCTCAGCAAAGCCTCTCTCAGGCCGCGCAAAGGTCGCCCTGTTTCCCCGCGCTATCGTTGCTCTACGGTGCTCAGGTTCGTGCACGGAGGTGGAGATGATGTTGTTTGGTTGTAACGTGTTGGATTATTGTTTAAGAAGCAGCAGGCCAGTTGCCACCTGCAAGGACTGAACAGAGGGTTTTACTTTGTTATGTCGTTCGGTAACTGACCGTTTTTGCGCTTACAGGTGCCTAACAGCTACCTGTTCGTTGGATCATCACCGTTCCTACCTCATCTGCCTAATCCTGATCCATCCGCATTTATGAATCGCAATCTGATGTTCGGCGGTCACCAGAGTTCGGCGTTTACCGATCTCCTCATGAAGGAGAAGTGCCTCGAGTTTACACGAAATTACCACCGGGCAAAGACCTCGCTAGAGGTTCTAGCGCAGCAGCAGCAACAACAAACCGCGCAGCAGAATCGTCTTGGGGTCGGGGCTGGCCAAACCTGGAGGTCACCCCTCGAATTGCTCAAGGTCGAGGATAACATCGCGATACAGCAGACGCCCGAAGCCGTTGATAAGACTCCACAGGGCACTCCGGAGCCCCCACGGTGGGACAATCTATTCCGTCTATTTAACCCGTCGTTACGCAAGTTATCCAGCCCAGGGCAGACGCCGATCTGTCCCCTATGCGGCATCACGCTCACTCCACAGCAGATGAGTGAGCACCTCGAGCTGGAAATGGAGAAGTTTGCCGAGTTCTACAGCTGCAGAAGGTGGTTGGCCCCGACTGAACGAACGCAGGAGGACGATTTGGTGAGTTATCCGTGTTTATCGGTAGTCGTAAATAACGCCTTTGTCATGATCACCCAAGGCAACACCAGAGCTGTATACGCGATTAACTTTTGTACACTGAAATTCCGTGATTTCAGTTTTCGTCCTCGTCTTGAGGGTCTTCTTAGGCTTTGTTCTTTTTTTAGCCAATGCACAATTGGACTGACTACAAGCGCGTTTCTCGTGTTGCCTTCTGATGGCGGTATAGCTCAGGGACAGATCAAGCAGAATTAACCAGTTGGTTGAGTCGTACGCCATTGCAATACTCGGAGAACAGTACTAATATCATCATAACTTGATGTTACCGCAATGCACAAGACGCTCATTTTTCTCTATTGGATGTAACATAAACCAGGACAAAGTGGTGGGGACCTAAATAGATTCAGCAACACCAACGTAGTCCTGTTGGCGAGTCTTGCAAACCTTCCCGTTCTCTCACTCTAACTTCACCTTTGCCAACCATCTGCCGCTGCTACTGGGGGACTCTAGGACAGCTCAGTCTGGCTGTCGCTTGTCGCCTACTACAAATTCGCTTCTTATGGGACAACGAGATGATATCTCGATGACATGAGCTGCTTCTGCGACTACTACTAGTGATAGGCCCCGCGGACGACTCCGATTCAAGAATAAAATCGGATCAAAAATGTTTATTTAGTTTCGATTCAGCTTTGATTGACTGAGGAGATTAGGCTGCTGTCGCCACTCGACGGGAATCACCCTGTCGTCGTCGACGACGACGACCATAGCGAAGACGAGCCAAGAGCGGAACAAGTCGAAACGAATAATTCACCTTTGCTAGCGACTACACATCTATTCATACACGGGTTACTATTGAGCCTGTATAGATACAAAGGAAGATTTGCGTCACGATATAGCTTTGGAAGCCAGCTATGCAATGACGGGCGATCGTTTGTCGCCGTCGCTAGGATTGGGTACTGTGGTTGCTTCTGCTTTTTCGTCGAGCAGCGCGAAGAAGACCTTCGCTGATCTAACCCGAACGCTAGAGCGGTTCTAGAATCGGATCTGGTTTACTTCTCATTGGTTTGTGATTTGCTGGCTCGTACTCGTCGCTGAAGGGCCACATTGGATGCGGGAGCAGTAGCAAAGTCGTCAGAAAAAAACCAGTTCGACATAATACTGCCGCATCATCACTGTGCAAGATGACTGCCAAGGACTCGATGCTTTCGGTGGCGAAGCCCAGACCCGACATCAGACCCGATCCGGCGAACAGCCAGACTTTGTCTCCACGCCGAACATAGACCAACTCTCAGGTCGCACACGAGTACCGAGCCAGGAGATAGGTACACGTACACTCCATCGCACAATCCCAAACGATGCGTAAAGTTCCCCGGAGTTCGCTCCCGTCAGCGGGTAGAACGAGCGGCTAAAAGCAGAAAAGAGCGCACAAAACAGTTTGTGAGGATTATCTCATTCCAGCGATTCTCTCGCAAAGCGACAGGACCGACAGGGACAGGGAGAACAGACAGATGCTCCTTTTTAGAGACTCCGAAGGCGAACTTCACCAGTAGATACTAAATGTTTCTAAGAGTACAGCACATATATATATATATATATATATATATATATATATCCAATTCAGACAAATTTAGTCCTTCCTGGTCGACGCCGTAATCTCTAACAGCAGCAAATACTATGTGTGAGTGTGTATAAAGAATTAACATCCCAAAAACCGCCTGAAGAAACGAACTCGTACGTTAATACTGATCCATCCGATTTGTTTATTCAACTGAAGATAAACTCATCTAGTTTAGGTGTCTTGTTGAAATCCTTTTTTCCGTTGGTCTAGCAATGATATGAGCTTTATAGTTTCATCAAATCACAATACGCCTCTTTACCTAATGGCAGTGATGCGTACTCTCCCAAAGCGATTTCTAGTGCAAGCCTTTGCACAACAGAAGTATTCTTTTTGGTTTGGAAATTCCTATAGAGCGTGTAGTAGACTTTCGGATGTTGGTCTGCATTGTACTTCGGGAGCTTGTTTCCATATGATTTTTCTTAGTTATATAAGTCGGCTATATATATATATATATATATATATGCATTAACGCAAAACTAAATCATACTGTATTCGATACACTTTCAGACGGACCAGCATTTGGATCGGATTTGTCGTCTTCCTTTCGGCCAGGAAAAGCGGTCGCCACTTTCCCGCTGGGAGGTAAATAGCAACGGGCACTGCTCGTAGGGGTTTTGTGCAATTCTGTACTCGTTGATTTCTTTTCAGTCAATGCTACCTCTTCTTTTTACGCCTGTCCCCTTTTACTATACCAGCCTCGCGATGGTAGCTACAGTTGGGCACTGGGCTAGTGGGCTTTTTATTTTCTTTTTTTACTTCTCTTTGCTTTTCCACTTTCTATGTAGATAGTTTGGAGCCCCAGCGGATCTCAGATCTCTACGAAAAAAACATAGTCCCAGATATCCATTCCCTAGCCCTCGTCTTCGACTAGATTGTTTTTGTACTAGAAGGCAAGTTCTCTGTACTTACATGGGCGATTGTTGGCTACGACGCATCACGCTTGAGCGTCTCTTGGCGAATTGGTACGTGTCGCTCAAAGGATCAGTGGACCTACCAGCAAGCCTGAGCTGTAGGCCGGGACAGGGGGCATGGGCTACTGCGAAATATTAGAAGGATGGTGACAAAACGCGGGAGGAATGGGGAACGAAATTGTATTAAATCTTTGCTATCCCGACTCAGTCCACACGATCCTCGTGTCTAACCCGGCTGCCGTTGTTCTTCCACCAATCCGTGCATCCGTATCCTTGCGTTCGTCACGCTTTTCGTGAAGCTCTTCTTTTCGGCTTCTTGTTTCCATGTTGCTTTCTCGTTTAGCAGAGCGTCCAGACGGAGCGTTGGCCGTAGGCAGCTTGCGGGAAAATAACAGTCTCTTGTATCCGTTCATTGTCTGCGATTGGCTCCTTGACAAGGGTTGTGTAACTAAATCGTTTCAATTTTGACAAGTGTTGACGGTCTTCAAGTTCAATTTTGCTGCGATACGGCTAAGCAGATGGGCACGCCATTACTGCGGAGGGTATCCTGGACCAATAGCGAGTTGGATGCCAACTTGTTAAACGAAAACCGTTGGATAGCCGATAGCAGGGAAACAATTGGGGTGAAAACCCCTGACCGGATTCTACCTTTGTGTGACTGTTGTTCTGCGAGACACACTATAACTCACTCTGTACAATACAGTTTTAAGCACCAACATATGTGTACAGCGATAGATGGCACTTTTCTGTTCTCTCACCTATACTGTGACAACGTTTTTCTTTTTGCTGTCGCTTCAGACGTTCCTCAAGGTGCGCGGAAATAGACACCATCGCCTCAACGGTAAGTGTCCTTCATGTGTTTGCAATTGCTTCTCTCTCTCTCTCTTTATATATATATATATTCATTGCATGCCGTGATCTGTATCTGTGCATGTGTGTCGTAGCGATCTCAAGTCATCTAAAACAGGTCACTCAGTCTGGACCCAATTTCTATTGGATGGACAATCGCAAACAACGGCCGTGTGCAGATGAACGTACGAGGATGTCTGTTGTTTTAAAACCACTTCGGACCGATTCTCGAACAACAGGACTCGAGAGGCTATGAGGGCCGCAGGCCTTATAGGTGAGATAGCGGCGATTCGCTGAAAACTCCCGGCGCTCCGTCCTTTGCCCGTGGAGAACACTCATCACACACTTTAAAAAAGCACTTATAGACACGTTGTCGAGTGGATGGAACGCAAGTGGATGTGAGATCAAGTAGCTGGAGGAGATTTTTATTCTTGGAGGATAGTGCTGCTCTTGCTGGCGGTTCTACCGACTGGAAGCGACTAGCAACAAAGGCCAAAAACGGCCGGCAACGATCACCTGGTTGGTTTAGCCGATTCGAGTAGACTCTTTTAGTCACGTATCTATGTCTTTTGCGTGTGTGTGAGTCCTTCATGTCTCTGCTTTGTATATACCGGCATATATGTGTACTTGTACGTATGTGTATGTAACAGTAGCAAAGTGAAACTGTGTATGATCCTCACGACCTTTTGCTATTTCTACCACTGCTATATTCCGTCAGACGAACCCAGCGCCCCAGTCGCATACTGTTCGTCGACCCTTGCGCCTGGATGGGCTGTGTGCGCTAATGGAGTTCGCTGAACACCGACTACTCCTGGGCGGCCGGGCTACAAAGTTTTGCAGACGGGAGTGCATGCCCGGCTTCGTCCTATTTCACTGACCCAAGCCGTCCTGCCGCTACCCCTAACTTCCTCTACAACACGGCGACCATAACGGAAGCAGGACTCCGGCAGGACAAGAACTCCGCACTCGGTAGATGGCCTTTTCTGCCAAGTGTCGCCGTGGCAGGCGTTTCGGCCACAGTCAAGTGTCAATTTTTCTCAAGACTTCCCGAGCTCCTCTCGCGACTGTTTGGGGCTGAGTTAGCGGTTGGGTTGGACGGGCTTGCGCAGAGAAGAAGCGTTAGACCCATACGATTTCTGATGAGTTTACTCTTAGCGGATGCCTTCGTCCGTCTCGGCTTAGGCGGCCGAACGGAGTATGTTTCAGCGAGATGTGCATAGGATCTCGGCAAGGGGGCGCAGATTGTGGTTTGATTGTGAGCCGACGAGGAACTGGGGGTCGACCCTAGAAGAGACTGACTGAGACCAGATTGATGTTTTGGCGTGTGCGTTGAAACACTCATGACACTTGCTTTAGTCAGGCCAGACGCGTCACGACTTTCCGACGCCGACGCTGACGACTTCAGTGCGGTCGAGACGATTGAGACAGCCGAAAGGAGTAGCTTTTCCTATCGACTGATCGTAATGCATCAGCTTGATCTTGCCGGCGAAACATGCACACCGTCGCAAGAATGGATACGTCGTGCGCAGAATTTTTGAATCAAGAATTCTTCTAATACCCTAGCACTCTTTAGGCCCCGCATAAAAGGGCAAATAACGTTCGTTGTGAGCACTCCGAGCACATTTATTGATCGATACTAGATGGCGTCCTTCGGTAATGTGCCCGTTATCTTCCTGGAACTCCTGCGCTTAGTGATATAGTTGCTGAACTTTAGAGTTGCGTTTCGCCGCACTGCCTTCGAAGTGTAGGCCTTACCACTGGTGGTACGCAAGTGGTTGTAGAGTGCGTTCATGTCGTTGGCAAACTTTGAACTCAGCGTCTTCTTGGGGTCGTTCAGTCTCGTTCTAAATGATGTCCTTAAAAACTCAATTAGCCAAATGCGCGAGCGTGTATCTGCACGCCTGTGTCAGTGGTAAGGTTGAGTGTCCTGTCTGAAAACTGAGTGTTCAGGGTCATTTTGCGATGGGCCCGCTACCGAAAGGCGGCAAGCGGAATTAGTGGGGCTACTCTAGTTAACAAATCTAGTTGCACGCATTTTGGCAAGGTGATGAGTAAGGGTCGCCTGGCTTTGCTATACAACCGAGCTAATCGTACGCACTAACAAACTCTGAATCAGATTACTTTATTCTATTAAACTTATCCTAGTCTTCTGGCCGTTTCAGCTAAAATAAGCAAGGACGAGGAAAACAACCCGTGGGATAGACATTACGGTAAGTGAATTAACCAATATTTAGAGAACATCACATTGTTTGTCCTTTGTACGACTATGTTGCATGTATATTATGTTGTGGCTAGTTACGTATCAAAGTAAAAAAAAATCTACATTTGTAGCCAAAACCTGTATATATCCCAACGGAAAGAGGTCTCTTTTTGCGGGTAGTTCCTTTCGCGTGTGAAATGAATGGGCATGAGTTGTAACTCAAAAATTATACCCAGTAAAGCGCTGTCGTTCCTTGCTGATTTTGTCCATCGTCTCAGGAACTGAAGTCAAACGCGCCGGTTAGGTGGCACAGGTTATATCGCAGCCAATAGTCGGCTGAGAGGCAGTACTGGTTACCTACGAGTTGTTCTGATCCGCAGTCAGTGTTTCACTGCCATTAATACCAACAGTGTTCTACTTCCGGCCGAATTACTCCAGCGGATCCAATCCCGCGACCCATTCTTAGCCAGTTGCTCCCCAAGTTCCTCCCATTAGTATTCTGTTCTGTGGCAATATACTCTCCCAGACCGCCCGTTCTTGGCAGCTTCTGTTCACGAACACTGACTGAGACCTGACTTGCATACTCAGCTGGATTTTGTGCCAGGGTCGGAGAAGGTTTCTAAATTTCTCCGATCACGATGACGCCCAACTGACTTGGCACTCGCAGGCAGAATCATATACGGTCGAGGCCTCAGCAAACTGGCCAACCATTGGCACCACATGTTACTCTTGTATAGTGAATCGATGTATAATACTAGCCTAGCAAATAGCTGGAATACACAAATTCGTGCGGAAGATGAACATTGTTATTCAATCGGTTTTTGTGCGGGGCAATCGGTAAACTCTTGAAGCCGTTTGCCGTTGCTATTATTCGATGAAGAAGAACACCACTCGAAAGTGGCCTCGGTGAAAAAGAGTCTAAAGTTATAATGGGAAGCATGAAGAGCCGAAATTTAGTTAATAAAAAATGTGAGCCAATGGGCGAGTGCCTCAGACGAATTCATACATTGATACGTATGTGCATGCCCAGTCGACGATGATTTCGCCACCCCCCACCTCATGAACGGGGTGTTGAAAGCGGAAAGCAAAATCGGGGCTGTTGGCATATAGAAGAGGTGGGGATAAGATAGGCAACGAGTCCATCGGATACGCAAAACGCTGGTCGGCAGACATCTCAAAGATATCATCGTTTCGAGATGAGTTAAGTCTCGGCCGGTATTGTATTGACTCAAATGGGATATAATTCAATTTAAGCACTTTAGAGTGAAGCAAGTGAAGAGTTGAGTGATAGTCGGCGCGACGCTTACCCGAAGTCGCGGCTCCGCGAACAACTACAGCTCTTCAGTGCCTCACTGGAAAAAGACACTCAGGAGAAGCAGTTCAACCAGCATTAAGCCTGTCGACGGGCCTTTTCGCACTGGCTTCACCGCCTCGGCCGGGGGTTCGTCGCTTAGCTGTTATTCAAGCATCTGTCGATGTCCCAGGCGTTGCGCCAAGTAGCCAAGGACTCTTAGCGAAAGAGCACTTGACTCCTCGTCTACGGATTGGTTTCAACGACCACAGCACTGCAGCGGGCGCTAGGAGCAAGTATAGACAAACGGCTCACCTCGACCCTATCCGACTCTAACCGAATCGTCTCAAACCACGCAACGGGGAATGAAGTCAATGGAGAACTCGCGAGGAGCTCGTACATGTAAGAACGAATACTAAGCAAGACAGGGGACCAATGGGGGCGTCCAGAGCATACAGATCTTGTGGGGCAGAAAGGATCGACTTACTTGCAATGTGAGTCACCTCGACTCGAACGATGAGTGACACTAGCGTTTGGCTCCACTGCTAGTAGCAACCTTGTCACCTCATTCTGCGCCAGATTACCACTGCAATAGTAAGCCTGCAAATGTTGGAAGACTCGCAGGAGTAGCAACAGTAGTTGCAGTATTTACGGGTTGCAGGCGCCGAGACAACTTCGTGTTTTTATTCTCGCAATGCCTTGCTGACGTCTATTCGTCGAAAAAAAAGACGCTTGTGGCCACCCTGAGCGAACTGACCGCTGAAGTGGCCGCGAGATCGACGTGCCCAGAGCCATACACTGCGTATGTATATGTATGTATGAAACAATCCTGCAGCACTGGCAGCAACTGTTATTCGGGGATGCATTCGGGGACCATCGTTGGTGCCGCTGCTTCTTTAAGCACAGGAGATAGGTGTCCTCCTATGGCCTCTTACACAGCCCAGGTCGCTCGTACAGAAACAGTCAGATAAACCGAAGTCGCCCAACGCGGCCGGTATGGGCGTGCAATATCGCTTCGGCTCTGCGTAGCTAACCTGGCATCACTAAATCCGCTATTTGTCACCCCCCGTAAAAAACATACAGACACATTGAGTCTAAACGCAGAGGGGGAATAAACGAGGAAGGCTCTAGGTAGTGGAGAAAGGGATACAGATACTGGAGAACTCGGCTGCGTGTATCGCCTTCCAGTAAACGATTTCATCTTAACCGTCTCTGCAAAGCCTCTTCCTAACAGCGTTTGGTTTGGCAAGCCAGTCAAGAAACGCACGGTTGGGGAGGCTAACCCTTAGCTCTGGCCAGAGACAAGCAGCAGCTTAATCCTGAATGAGGTGTCCACCCACCGCCACCAAGCAGTACCTATCTCTTCGGTCTCGAGACATCTAAAGCGTCCTAACCGATACCGCGATAATATAGGGTCTCCCTCCACCAAAGATGGAGAAATGCGGATAGTAAGCAACCCATCCAAGAAACTCCTGGCACCGATTGCCAAACTCGATTAACGACGAGACTGCCTTTGCTTACCCCCTTAGAAAAATCTTCAACGGCTACGATGGACACCGCTGTGTGGACCAGCGCTAGATAACCCATAAGTAGTCTTATCGATTCGGAGTTCGTAGGTGTCTAACATTTTTGTCTTTTTTTCTTTCCATGTCTTTTTCCTCACTTACTCGTCCGATTCCAACTACAGCCTTCTCTTTGGCAGCGCGAAAACGCAAGTCCGAGGAGATTACCAGTTCCCCGCTTGACCTCAAGGTGAGTGACATGATATCGTTCGCCTGACATATTCATGCATGCAGGAGTGGACCTCGAGAGAATAGGATTTAGCTATGAATTCTGTCCTTGTTCACAGCTATGTACTATGCTTAACCAATTCAAAGATTATCATCATCCTCATTACGGGCTCTATGATACTTCAGTATCGTCGTGTCTGGCAACATTCAGCTTCACGCAACTTGGCAAGCTACGTATATTCCATGACATTATTATTATTAGTACTGTCGTTTAATGAGTAGGGCACGAGCTCGTGCGTAACGATAACGAGATCACATAGTGTGACGATAAAAATTGGGGATCGAACTGGCTTGTTTTTCTGCTTATACAAATTGTTGCTTCTGCCTTTTAACTTACGAAAATCTCTCCTTTAACTAGAACTTAGCTTTTACCAACCAGCGACGTTATCGCTGCGCGAAGTGGCGGCCAACCGCTCGCAAAATTCGTTTTGTATGCAATGTTCACCTTTCTTATAAATTGAGGGTTTTCGTTTCGATGCGTGTGCACTTCCTTGACTACGGCGGATCGAAAAAAGAAGCTCTCGCTCTGTCAGTTGTGACTGCGAGTGTTAGTGAAGAAAAGCCGAGTTCAGAGATCAGATCGCAGTCGATTGTGTCGTAAGATTCAACACACGACAACTTATTCTCACGGCGGTCGGACAAAGATATAGGGGCGTTACAACGAAACCCGGCGAGGTGCACAATAGACAATTCTATTAGGAGGTTCTGGGGAGGGCTAAACTAAGGGATCGTACAACTATCTTTTGACTTTCCACCACTACCAACCCGTGCGCCGTTGCCTTTTTTCCAAGCATGTTACTGTTACCTCATGTCAATCACCGATTCTACGGCGGGAGCCACGGTGGGCAGCTGGCAACGTCTGCGGGTGCTTTTTAATTTTGCGCTTCACTTGATGCTGACATCGTGCGGCTCCCCTTAACCCCCCCTCGGCTGCCGACGACTGCGATGGTGATTGTCGGTTCCATTTTGTTGTCTTCCCCCATTGCGATCTATCCGCCCTTTGCGTTAAAGCCCGTTGCCAGTTGCTGACGGTGATGCTGTTGGCTTCTGCTAGTTTTCGTTGGCGACTCTCCCTCGATGTCAGGAAGTGTTTTCGTAGTTGTCCTCGAAAGCGTTTCATGCGGAGTCGATTTTTCGAAACAGGTTGTATTCAGCTAAGTTGGTTGTCTTTGTTTCCATTTCTTTGACCGGCTGATGACAAAAAGAATCAAGCGTAGGGTCAAATCTGAAAAGACATTCAGAGGATGTCAAAGTCAGTCGGTGGCCAAGATGGTAGCATGTGACGTTTCTGGCCACCGAAACCCTTGAACGATGTAACGTGCTATAAAGACTCTTAGCCGAAAGATAAAAGTGTATTTTTTGCTAGAGTTTTCTTCCGAGTGACATGTGATCTGGTAACATTCTTTGTTAACGATGTCATCCTATTCCGTGTGTTTGCACGTGTTATGTCTCTTAGCAGGAGCAGCCCAGCGCCCAGGACAGACGGTCGAAACAGCTTGATGGTAAGTTTAACTTGTATGACACTAAGCTTTTAAAGCCGACTGAGACCAGAACCTTACCGCCAACGGGTACCTACACGTTACCTACTTGCTATTTTTCATGGGCATCTCAAACTTGGTCCGAAGACATTCCTCCGATGTTCCGAGGCATGCTGTCTTGCTGATTCGCTTTTTTCACCCCCGAGTGCCCTCGGCGACCACCACCCCCAGACTTCAACAAAAGCCTCTTTCCTGGTATGCCGGGAGCCCAAACAACCGAGCTCAATATTGAGCGCAACGAGTTGGAACTTGTGCAACGGCTCTCCAGTCTTGTGATATTTTTTTTGTCGCCATAATCAGGTAGCATACCACTCTAACCGACTCGCTAAACCGAGCTCGTATCGAACTAATTGGCTCTTCGTTGTTTATTGGCATGTCCGGCATTTTATTACATGATACTTGCAGGAGTACAAAGTCCCTCAGAGCCACGGCCCTCATCGGCAGATCATCCAAATAGCCCGAAGTCGCCGGCGGCAGTTACAGATTCAGCGTAAGTACTCTATCATATAATAGACAATTCCTGCTAATCTTAATCGAGATTTTGCTTTACTGTTGTGAGCTTTAGATTTATCGAACATTTATTAGTACAAAATCAAATATTGTATTGTTTAAGTGTTGACCAGCGGAAAGCCAGCATACCGTAATCGCATAGCGTGCAGCTTGCATCGCTGGTATATCTATATGGGAAGACCGTTTCGGCTTCGTACAAGAGACGTTTTTTTTTACAGGTGAACTATACGCGCTATAATGTGCAGTCTAAAGAATAGTAATACCAAGTTTTGAGCCAAGACGCTTTCAGCAACTCCTGCAGCCACAAATACATGCCACAAATAGCTTTAATTGTTTTTGTCTCCGAGAATTCCAGTAGGTTATGACATATGTAGCAAATGGTACGCTGCCGATGGATTATAGGTTATTACATACTTTTATGCGTACCTTGTTTGATTCCTATTGCCTACACTGAAATTCCACAGTGAATAATTACTCAAAGGGAAACTCACCTTGTTGCTTCTTGCTATGCATATTGACCTCCTTTTGCCCCCCTGGCTCGCCCCAATAAAAAGCCAACAAGGCAGGAAGCAGTGATGACTGGTATTTATTGCTATCTGCCCCAGCCAACTCGTTCCACGGCTGAGTTATTGCATCGTCTTGAATACGAATCGTTCACTAAATTCCAGGTGCAAAGCACTCTAGCGTAATGAATGCAGGGACCATGCATGGGTAGAGCACGTGAAGCAACGGTGGCCATCACTAAGATTAGAAGTAGTAGCACTAGCTCGTATAGCGGAATTGGACTACGCTGTTGTATGTACACAGCAGACGCGTATAGTGTAGGCGTCGCCTACATCAATAAGCGGTCCGCGTCTTGTCTTGGTGATCCATTTCGCTCATCGGATCTCTTTTTCTTCGGCTTCTTCTTTTTTCTATATAGAATCGACCTGTCTCCATCGTGCCTTCTAATTGGCTAGGTCCGCGGAGGTTATTGATGTAGAGGTTCTTTTCGCTGTCGAAGGGGGTGCAAGTGTCGATCAAGCAAAAATCCTGTACAGAACAGCACTAAATCTGCACACGCGCTACGTCGCGGGTGTGGCTCTCCCGTAGCGTTCTCGAAAAAGAGAACGTAGTTGTGTTTGTTTGATGAAACGGCCAGGAGAATATTTCGCCGATCAGTTCATCCAATTGATGGCGTAGCTTATCTTTGTATTCGCTCTCTGGATAGCCAGTTAGTTGAAAGTTTCAGCGGAAAATCGTTGAATCAGTCTAGTACATCGTAGAAGTAGGTTGCGCTCTTAGAAACAAGTAGCTTAATTGTTTCAGACGGAAGTACCGAACGTATGGCAAACGAGCAAAACGTGTTTCTGGAACCAGCTATCTTGTTAACTAACTCATCTCAATGACCGCGGACAGGGCAAGTGCGGCCCATCGCGTTCCAGCGACATCAAGCTCACAGAGGACAGAAATCTCCATGATGATACCGCTGGATTGCATCGTAACCGACAATTTGTTGTAAATTCATTTGAAGCCATTGCAGTCCTGTTCAGAGCTGTTGAAGTGATCGCAAGATGGCATATGCTTCCGCCTGAAATCCATCGTCATATTGTAGAAAAAAGTGCTGAAATCTAAAAATATCGCCGCTTATAGTTCTCAGTTTGCTCTACTGTACGTATTCAGCTTCCTTCATCGTCCTATTTAGCCAAAGCTAAGAGAGGCACAATACTTTCTGCTAGTTTCTCTAGACAGCTCGGGTTGCTCAACATGCATCCTGTGAATGTTTCGAAGGCCCACCTTCACTTTCAGTTGGGCACTTTTGATCTTGCGTAACGCCTTGCACAATGGATCAAATAAGAACATGTCATACATTTCATTTTTTTATTTTTCGGTCGTTCTTATGCCGTTGACATTGGTGGTGATGCGCTGCCATCCCAAGTTGTCATACTAGTACCTTTTTACCCCTTCTCAAATTCGACCAACTTCTCGTGAGGTGCTCCCTACAGATAAAAGCGTGAATGTAATATGTTGCCAAGCCAATGAGAAGATGCTAGCTAGCACGCTTACTGGACGAAAAGCTGCCCAATTCAGACTGAGCGTGAAAGATCTAATCTTTGAGTTCCGAGAAACTCTCAGCACAAACAAGGCGGCGAGCATCACAACAACACCACGGTATCAACAACAGAGTAACACGAAAAAAGACAACAACAACTACGACGTCCACAACAACAGAAACAAGATAAAGAAATGCAACAGCATGAAGAATATTTTCGTTGCCCGGGTTTCGTTTGTTGCCTGGAGCTTTCCTCCTTGTGGCCGCCGCTTTTCCTGATATCCGCCCCCGCGTCACGAGACTCGACAGCCGATTCGGTGTGGCCCTACGAAAGGAACACTTCGTCCCCGGTTGATCCGTTCCATTCGAGAGAAATCGCGAAGTCGACCCGCGAGGCAGACAAATCTATCCTAGCCACTATTCTTGCTGGTCGTCGTCGTCCTTTCAGTTCTGTCATGTTCCAGGTGACGCTTGCACTCTCGAATTCGCCCCGAGATTTTGCCTCAGGCGTCGATGAGAGAGATGTCCAAGATGGGAGAGTTCTCAGTCATCCAACCACGCGTACACTCAGGCGTCGCACAAGAGCCGAGGGCATTCATCTTTACGACTAGCATCCATCTTCCCTGTTCTCGGCTTATGTTGTGCCACTTTCTCAAGAACAGCAATAGCACCAGCGTAGACAGGAGGAGAAAAAGCCGGGCAGTATAGTGAAAACGAGAGTAAAACTGAGTACAACTGTAGCCAAGAGTTTAAGCAAGACGATCTTGTTCAATAGCTATCCGTTGCTGGTGATACACATCTTTGTGGTTATTTGTACGTATCTAAATTATTTATTACGATCGCTTTCGTATTTGTGAGAGATTATGACACTTCGTGGTCGCACCTTCGTCATTCCCGTAGAATTGCGTCATGTGACTCGTTCGTGCTTTGTTGCAACCTTAAGCTTTATCTCCCTCTGGTTTACTCCTTTTGAGTCTGATGTTTGAATCCTCAATGCTCGACATCATCAATTTGTAGTGGCTGTAAAAACAATAGAGAGGAACGCACACCATTTCTCTTACAGACACAAACAGGGGCTATTTCGGAAGTGTGGACTTGGGGAGGGGGTGGCCGTTAAAAGTAGTTCGAAAGTGTGACCGGTGCCTCCAAACTGAATGTGGACATTACCCAGCGACTCCTGTGGGCCAAAAATGTGCCAGAGGTAAGATTCTTTTTTTAAAGCTTCAAAATCCGCTGCGGAAGAGGGGTTGCAAGGGCAGCAGGAACAGATTTCAGTTGATCCTATTTGAACCCCTGGGATTCCTCTGCTGGCGACGAACTGGTTGGCTCACTTTCGCACTGGCGTGTGGAAATGGCCGAATGATGCGCAAATAAAAATCTCACAAATATGTCCCACTTATGCTGCGCGTCTAGAGGGATTGTTGGTTAGTAGTGGCACATAAACCCCCATTTCTCTTCTGTAGGTCTGGCCACTTAGCAAACCCGGAGAGGCTTTGGGTCATAGAACGGAAAAACCAAGCTACGGAGGTTTGTTGCCCTCAAAATCTTGAGCTTATGATTTCGTCCATCTCCTGTCTTCTAGTGCAACCGGAGAAAAAAAAGCGCACTTATCCCTCAAAGTGCAGGAAACGACCAGGAACGATTTGGTCGCGGTCAGTTGCCCTATGTCCGGTGACTATATATATATATATATTTTTTTTTTGATTTCCTTTCGCCTAGCCACCACATTTCTCCTTACACTTTGCTAATCTAGGTCTTGCGATGGGTGCTCGATTATATGTGCGGTCCTGCGGGTGGGTACGAGTGTAGGAGTTGGCAAACGCCGGATCAGTCTAACGTAGCCAGTGCCTTCTGCACACTAACAGTTAGACGACAGCTAGCTGAGAAACGTAGCGAATGCGTTGTGAGTCCTTAACATTTGACGTTGCTTTCAATCTGGCAACATCCCCTTAGTTCGTAGATCGGTTAGTTGTCGTTGTGATGGCCTCCGGGATGGTGGATGTTGAGTCCTTCGGGGTAAGTTGAAGACAAGAATTTAGTAACACTAACTACAGTGCGGGGTATGCCTAAACCCGTAGTCTAGCTGTGGACCATAGGAAATTCAAAGTTCTCGTTTTCCACACACGCAACCCAGTAGGTGCCTCATACTATGGAGTATAGGCAGTGAGCTCCGTAAGTGTTTCGGTCAGTCTACCCTGGCCTAGGAGCTGATCTTAGGACCTATCTCAAGTGTCCGCTTGATCTAACAACGAAAATTATGAAAATACAGCTGCAGTGTGCTTTGTCATAGGATCCAATCGAATAATTTACTTGGGTACCCGTATCATACGGTGCAAAAAAGACCCATTGTTATTATTGTGATCGTACGACCAATATGGTTTACAAAGTCCTTGCAACGTAATTTGCAGGTAGAAATCAACGATGTTGCCCGATGGGTTTCGTTGCGCGCCCAGGTTGCTAGCTTATTACTCCCACCATTTCCTTTAAACAGTAGTATACATGTGAACAGATTTCGCCGTGTGCGACTGTGCTCGTTCCAGCTTCGCATATTTTATTTTCTATTGAATAACGGCAAATCATTCAAACAACTAAAGGTGAAGCTTCCGTGGACATACCGATACTGGTAAAATGTGTGTGTGTTTTTTTTTATAATTTATCGGCAATATTTTCAACGCGGGGTGTCAATCGTAATAGTATTAACTTAGCTGAAATTCTCGTATTCTAGTGTATAGTCGTATCCTGTCTTAAAATAATATCCAAAGCGAGCTTTACCGAATTAAGATGTCTTGTCAGATTCGCTGGCCAGGATGATTTGAATTGAAATCGGCTTTGTCTCTCTGGTAGCTGGTGATCGATGGTGTCATCGAGAGATTCTAGTGGGGGTAGTGATTTTTGCTCCCCTTTAAATTAGGAAGTGCTATCCATTTTGAAATTGGAGTTGGTTCTTTTCTATCCGTCCGGAAGTCCAGCTCGCTCGGTCTGTTTGTATTCATCTCGTCACAGAGAGTTGATGCCATCGGTACAAGAAAGTGACAGTTTACATTTTAAACCTTGCTAGAAGCCTGAATCGACCGAAGTTCAAGGTTAGCTTTCTTGCGGATGTGTGATTTTCTCAATGGACATGCTGGTTCCCTTCCTTTTCGCTTAGACGATGACCCGAAGGGTTCAATGGACGAACTGATGATTTTAATTACTCGTATGCTCTTAAATTATTTTGTACTTTTTATCGAAGTAACCGGGACGAGGTAAAACGATTTCTTTACGTTAAACGATAAGTTATGTCTTCAACAACATTTTCACTGGCATCATTAATATACATCTGTGTCTGTTTTGGTTTTGTAGTGTTCACTGCACCGTCTGTGAGAAGCCGTATGACAAACCCTTGGTATCAACCTCTTGTTGGCATGTGCTCTGCGAGGCTTGCTGGAACCAAAGCTTGGTAAGTTCTTTTGTCTTTTAGTAGTTATCATTTTAGTAGTAAGTGTGTCACATAGAACCTGCTGACATTACTAATGGTCTACTGCATTACAACCATAGCAATCAATCAACTTACTTTCCAAAAATTGCATCCGTACATCAAATCATAACGCCCGACTATGTATAGGCGTAACGTATACTGAAATTTCTATATTCTCTTGCATATGCTACGACGCAAAGACTTTGAGCTATCCGAGCTCTTTCCTCTTTACAATCCGCCACACTGCCAGTCTGAGGTTCAATGCGCTCAGTAAAAAGTCTTGGTTTTACTTTCGTCTGGCAGACCCTCTCCCAATTGCCTCTGCATCCCCAGAGTGAACTCATGCCTAACTTCTCCCTTTCCGTCGAATGTTCCTCTCGCTCGTTATGTTCCACAGGCGACGAAGCAATGCTGTCCGCAGTGTGACGCACCTGCATCGACCCAAGAGCTTCGACCCATTCACCTCTGAGGAGGATGGGTTTTACTGCTACTACGATAACTTCTACAGGAACAGAAACTGCTATTGGACGAAGCAGTTCGTTATAAGTAGCTTAAAATGGCGTTTATTCTCTGCGTCAAAGAAGCGTACATGTTAGCGGGTTCGCTGATATGCTGCGTTGTGAAGCAATGACTTGTTGGGGACCGATGCGTTTTGTCGTGATGAGTTACTGCAACTGATCCAGCACTCATTACTGGTTAGATACACACCCGTCTGCTGGAGAGACGGAGCCGTCAAAGGGAAATATCGCCAAGTCCGTGCTCTAACATTCAAGTAAAGTAGCACGCAGATGCGGTGATTGGGATCCCACTATCGGCCGAAGCCTATGAAGATGTCGCATGGAGTCACCGCAAAAAAATACTATTTGCGGCAATTTTTACCCCACTCCGCAGTCGCTTTGATACGATCTCTTCCGTACGCCGCATATCTTCATGATGAGGTTCGGGCTCATCGACGAGCTCGAATGGGAATATATAGTCGCTTGTACAAAATCCAGTGATAGTGAGCACAGCTCGCGTATAGACAAATAAATACGAGTCGTAAGAGCCCAAAACAGTGTCATATAATCAAGGATTAAGGTCAAAGGTGGCTGGTGGAAGATAAGGAGAGAAGATCGTGGCTGAAATAGAAGAAAAAAAAGTAACAGTCGAGAGGTAAATAGCGAAAGAAGATTGTCACGCGACTTTTGTTGCCAGGAAACGACCCGATAGAATTTAGTCGCCGACGTTTCGTTGTTCTGACGGCTGTTACGGTTGTTGTTAGCTTGTTCAGAACCAATGATTATAATAGTTTAGAAGTAAATGAGGTCACGGCGCACGAAAAAAGGGTTGGGCCTGTTGGCAACTTGGTAAAGTCTTCAGCACAATTGAGACTCACTGATACATCTGGGTGCTTTGAATATCGACATTCTTATTTATTAGTTGATTGACTGCATGGACATGATGATGCTGATAATAATAATAATAACAATAATATTTATTATTATTATTATAAAATTAATAATTAAATGATAAATACTATTAACAGCACTCACCGATACTGAGGGGACAATATGACATTACAAAATAAGCAAAAACAAAGTTATCAGAAGGGATATATGAGATTTCCTGAAAACTCATCCTGTATATATAGCTCTGTATGTACGGCAGGCGAGAGGCATGTGGAAAAACTAGTTATGGAAAAGGCATAGTGCGATGAACATAACCTAAATTATAAAAAATGATGAATCTACTAACTAGAATTCAGAGTTGCGAATCTGCAACAGACGATGTTGATGTTTAATGAGAAATCAAATGACAGGTAACATCTCTAGTGAAGCCCCTCCTGGACGGTCTGTCCGTGTTGGAACGGTCTTCTCGATGAATTTTGTTAGTGTAGCATTGCCTTGCCGGTGTCCAACATCTCTGTAAATAACAACAACAAGAACAACAACAACAACAACAACTGAGTCTGGTGCAATAACTACGTAATATTAATAATGTATGAGGAGATAAAATAAAACTAAGCCCTTAATGGAGACTGCGTAGCATTTTCATTAGCTTCATTGAACACCTTTAGCGGCTGTGTCATGTGGAACTTGTACAGATCTTCCCTTGCGTAACAGTACGCACAAGAGACGCGCTCCGAATTTTTTTTACAGCTATATGCCTAAAATTTCTATTACATATTAAACCATTTCTTTACGGACTACGTAAATGTACCCAGTATTTAATTAAAAGTTTCCTATGTTCTTTGACGTAACTGCCATGCGAACCGTTATTTACTGCCATATTAAGGACTCTCAAAGTTATTATCTCAACTTACTGATTAACATCCCCAAGCACTGCTATCTAACCGTGACGGCAATTGGCGTGTTTATCAAGCCGCGCTAATTTGAACACTAGACACATATAGAGAAGAAAAAAACTAATTTCCTTTTTTCTTATCTATAAGACACAGTTGTTGTTATTATTATTAAGACTGCCCTAAGAATTTTTTAGGGGCCGACTAGTTAGTATTTATTACAGTATGCTAGTTAATATTATTACGGACCGGTGCCGAGCATGTGATGCTGGCCTTCGCCATTGTTGGACGGAACCATATGAAAAGGAAGGAATAGAAACCCTCAGCTGTTTAAAGCAGATGCTTAGTAAATAGCAGCTTCTATATACTACAGTCATTTTCATAAAGAGAGTGATGTTGGCTCTGTAAAACTGGGGATGATGCAAAGAGCAAATAGGTAAGTGTTTCTATCTATCTAATTTATTACGTTTGATTCTTCTTTTTTTTCTTCTTCTCAATTTTGTTCAATTTTTTTTAAGGATTTTTGTTCTCAGCATTGCATATGCGGATACAACAGCTGATCAAGAGCAACAGGAATGCTGATGGGCCCACGATGTAGCGGCCATGGTAGAATCGGGATCGCTTTTGAAGTCAGAAAGCTATGTTACTAATTGATGGCCTACAATTCCAGCAGCGTTACTTTCACAAAGGTACGCGCTTAACACTAATGGCTCTATCAGCGCTAGAAATGATAATGATCACTGCTAGTGCCAACTGCTATGATCTAGACGCAAGAAACAAGACGTAAGTCATTACGTGCAGGCAATCCTCGTTCTGGGGGCTGTAGCTGACGAAGAAAATAATACTAGCAACAATAGCAACGAAAAAAACGGCAAAAACAAAGGTGTTTGCCACAAGTGACGAAACCAGTAGGGAAAGTCCGCAGGCGAACAGAGACGTTCCTTTGCATTAGACACGTACAGCACGATAACCACTAATCGACGGAGAAGTTGTAGGTATTTGTTTCTCAACAATAGCGATATCTTGAATGATCCTGGTACTAAACAACGTTACCTAGCAACCTAAAAGCCTAGTACAATAGATGCGTACAGATCAAGCAAATAGTATAGAACACGCTAAAACATGCGACTGTAGAGTTTAGCAATGCTAATTTTAATTTACTCTGCAAAAATAGCTACTAACAGACAAAAAAAAGGTCTATTTTTTTTTCTTTTTCAACACACTTATACAGATACTCGAAGCAGAACCCTTGTTATGACTCGTCTGCTGTCAATTGTGTATGTATTGGCATTAATCGAAGCTTAATTGTTTGATACCGGCACTTAGTTGGATGCTGATTTCATACGATAAATTTCTACTTTATAGGTACACTCTTTTCGAAATTGTTACCGCTGAGCCTAAAACGATGTCTCCATTTATAATATTAATTATGAGTCACTTTTACTTTTTACTGACGCCAGCTGCCGACAACAAAGCAGTGACTGTAATCAGTAAGCAGTGACGGTAATGGCCGCAATCCAAATCCAACGATGAGGAAATCATTGAACCAATCTTAATTTTACAAAGGCACAGTCGTAAATAACAACTGGACAACTTCTAACACATTATAAATCCATCATACTTTGTGCCATTGAAAAGTTATTTTGCGCTCTACTTTAGTTCTTCATTTCCTGTAGTACTTCACCTCCGCTTTACTCGTGGCTAGCTTCTTACAAATCCAACCATAACCATTTGTCCCAATGCTTAGCCCCCGTTCACTTCTATACTGTTCGTTGGGGTAGATGGCTTTAATCTGAAAAAAGAAGAGCTGTATTCTTGATTAGGTGATGATGCACCACGCCCTCTTCGCCACTCGAGATAGATGAAGACCGCCTAAAGGCGTTGTTGAAGGAAGACGACTTGTGAATCAGTCGAGAAGGTGACCTGCAGTCGTGGCGAATTGATGGGGCTGGAGGTATTTTACTCATAAAAACCATTTACAACAAGTCTCGATATATGATTTGATTGAATGAGGTAATCAAATAGAAAAGATCTGATAGATAGGAAAGACAATGCGTCAGACCATACATGGTAAGGACTGTTAAATAGCTAGAGGTCAAACGAGCGGATTATTTGCGCTTACCACGTTCTCTAGATCCGGTGGCGATGGATTACTACGCTCTCTGATCATCGCCAAATGCAATTTGTAACAGTTTATTTGAAAATAAAGACGATTTCAAAAGGTGGCTGGACGAATCCTTCAAAGCCAAACCCGAATACTTCCGGCAAGGCGTAATGACTCACGGGTCAAAGGGTTATGGAAGGTCGTGGGCATTGCCCGCCGGTATATAATGGATAAATCTGTTGCTAGAATTCGTGTACAGCGTTACGTTTGTCATTGACCGAGAAAAATGCGAACACTTATGTATATATATATATATATATATATATATATATTTTTTTTTTTTTTTTTCTTAATTGAAGCTGGAAATTGTTAGTTCTGGGTCTGTTCTGCCATAGATATAACACATTTGTTATAATGGTACAACATGCCCTATTGCGGTTTTAGCAAAGATTGTACCACAGCATGTAATAATAGAGACGCTAATATGAATTTCTCCTACATTATTTGAAACATATAAAGCAAAATGTAACTGCACCAAGAAGAGCCCTCTTGGCCATTGCCACTTCGTATTAATTAATAACTTAACGGTGGAGATAGCCCTGAGTAAGTACAGACAATTCATTTTAACTATCTAGACGAAACCTGCTCAGATGTTTTTTCAAGTTATTTACGGTAACGTAACACTAGTTCGTCACAGTGAGGCAACGACAAAGACATATAGTAACTAAAAGTTTTTGTAGGACCATACTAATCGAGCGACATATCGATACTTTCCTGCCATTTGGCATGATACATTACTGCTATTGGCTATGAACTGTAGAAATAAGAAGCCTAGAACAGATACAAACTAACATTTATTTGTTAGTTATCAATTAAGATTTATTTGCTAAGCTCAACACGAGATAACATGTTCTTTCCTTTTTCTGTCAGCATTCCTTTCTAGCAATAATTTATGATGATTTTACAACCTAGCAAAAGCACAGATAGTAACCTTGGCAAGAAATTTGTGATATCTGCATTAACGGTTTTGATGTTTCTTCGACGTTGTTACGACTTCATCCGGACCCAGTATCGTTCGCCATAATTTTAGCTTCTGATCAGCTCGTTGGCGTGATATATGCGAACTGGGTAGCGGCAACGCTCCTTGACAGAGCTCCAGACGCCCGCCGCATTTGTCAAAGTTTTACCATATAACGAACGATCCGCAATAGCTCCTAGTGGCACTGCTGTTATCCTTTTATTGTTCGCGCTCTGGTGCATTACTACATTATAATTTGCTAATATTACCATAACTGTTATATTATTTGAGTTTATTATATTTCAACATTGCAGCTACCTTAGCGTGTGCTTGTGTGTGTGTGTGTGTCTGCTTGTGGGTCCATTGGAGGCAGATCCATTGAAGTAATACGGCCGTACGCTCAGGCTACGGTGGGTTAGGTGAATTGATGTTTGCAAAATCGTTGCCACTTTTTAGATGTTTGCCTGCTGCAGTGGCCGCAGCGGCAGTAGTCGGTGATTTTTGCTTTTTCTGCCTCGACTTCTGCTGGCCACCTGCAGTAGAAGCGGACCCATTTTTCTGTCGGCGTCCCCCTGTGCGTTTCTTATCAGACTTTTCCCGTTGTGGACTGTTGGTACCGCCCGCGTCGCTACCGCCAGCAACAGACCCGCTAACGCGCTGGACCTTTTGTCCTGCGCCACGTCGCCTAGACACACAATAACCATCTTCGTCCTGTCGACATTTCTTGCGCATCTTCGTTACAGGTACCACTCCTCCAGGGGCGGAAGTGTCTTGAATAACACCTCCGTTAACTGAGCTATCTGGTCCGTCTACCCTCTGAGGTGGTGAAGTGTCTTTTGATTTGGAAACCTTGTTTGCTCTGCGTCGGCTACCACCGCCATCTGTAATTTAATATTTTAATTAGAAAATTAATGAATTTAAAAGCTCGAAAAGAAGTAGCGGGTAATTTGTAGCCACGTCGCGTCACATCGTGCCAAGTTGTTCTTAAAAATATGTCGTGCTTCTGTTAGCTGGGAGTCTAAAATTTCGCAATTGTTTGGTAAGCGTTCACTAACTAAACGGGTAGTCGTGACAATGTACCTGCGTTAATTACTCGTAGCAGTAAAACAGTTGAAATACTAGTACAGACGACTGTTTGTGTCAACTGACGACAATAGCAATTTTAAAGGACTTATGCAGGTAGGACTCGATCGTTGCATTAAAGGCTTCTGATTTTCTGAACTTATCCGTCTACGTCGGCATCTAATTGTTTAAAAATTTGGTCAAGAAAAACCTAGAAACACTACGCAGCCTAATGGCATGTACATCTAGGCACAAGCACATACACAGTCGAATTTTCAGTAACCATAATCTTTTAGCCAAATTTGGCCTGAATATTGGTACGGCTAACCAGGACGGATCAGCGAAAAATGGAAAATTCGCTGCTTGGCAAAGGGTCCTACCATACCGCATTTCGAGTTGCAACTTCTGTATCTATGGAAGTTTTTTTTAGCGCGTTATTGTTTGCTTCCCATTTGATGACCACCTAATATATCATGAGTCTTACATTGATATGCACATCCCAGATATCGCTGTTGCGCCAAGTTTTTGTCAACACTTATTTCTCGTTCTAGTATCTACATTTAGAGATAGATGTACTTCAATTATGGATTGTGATACCTGGTTAAAAAGAAAGAGCAGGTCCGATTAGTCCCCTAGACCACGTTCTTCAAGGAATCGCGCACGTGAAGCTCTGGAGATGGCTTTCATAGGATTATTGACTTTTAGGAACTGTGAAGCTATCTCTAGTAAGAGATGATAAGAAAAAAGCCGACAGTTGCCGCAGCTTAGGGTAAAATGTATCGAATACGATGAAATCCCCACAACAATGAGTAGAAGGGGCGACTGCGTTTCGCGTGACCCCGTGGTTATTAGGGTAAACGAAGTGTCATTCGCTTATGTTAACGGCAAATGTTTTTAAATAGACGGATGGAAGGAAGGCAGGTGAAGTTTGTTGGCAAGGCAATGGTGAACGCAGACGGTACTATCCTTACGTCGCATTGGTTATCTACTAAAAATAGTTCAAGATCTATTTCTCTTTTGAGGAAGTCGTTCCGACAGAGATAGCTACAAGATGATTCTGCAGCTGTATGCATTCGGGTAAACGTCATTCCAACTGTGGGGGTTCATGGCTGCCTGCACTGATGTCTTTTAAAGAGAAAATCGCTACGAGATCGACGACTGGCTTATTGGCTGTGGATCCTTTTGTATCGATAACCCTTTGTTAATTACTACGGTGATGAACTGCAAATATCTAGTGACCTGTACAATAGCCATTGAGAGATTTCTATAAAATAACCTAAAACTAATTAAAAAGACGATACGAACACCAGATTTTTTGTTTCTTAGTTGTTCTCTGAATCGTTGTCCGCGCCTTCTAGGTCTCATGATTGACAATGATCTAACAATATTCGGGGGTGTACACGTCCTCAGTGACCACTCCATTAGCACTCGTTTCCGAGCTGTCATTCTTCTCCAGCTTGACACAAGGAGGCGATGATCAACACACGGTACGATGTTATAATTTATGTATAAATAAATATAATATGTTAAATCAACAGTATTCATTACGTTGAAATGATACACAATTGCCAGGCGACGATTTTCCATTCACAAAACTTCTAGCAACCAGTATTACTTTCTATTTATATCACAATTTTCTTACTCACGCCGTTATAGCATACACAGATGGAAAGATACATTTTAGTATATTCTAAGGACGAAGCAATCGTATACATATCCGATACTATTCTATAATTAACGTAAGTCTGATAGATCATTAAGTACGATTCAGCGATCTCTTGATTGCTGATGTGGTATAAGCACACACAGATACGCAGCTGTACACGCACATGAACCTTTTGCCCGATCTAGCTTATTAACACAGGCCTAATTTTAACTCAGAAGTTTTCACAAAGCTACTGATAAGACGAATAAACCCGAAAAAAGACTAAACATCTTTCTTTTCGCACCTGATCGCCGGCCAGCCTCAACGGTGATGGCAATAAACAGAACAATTACGCACACAAACAATGCCAAACGCCAAGCTTTCATTGCAGCTGTTCCTTAGGGACGTCTTCGCTAAACTTGTCCTGATTCTTCACCCTGCAGTTCTTCTAGTACGAGTGCTGCTAGAGCATGACACCGTATACTTTTACTTTCGTGTCTCGCTTGTAGCGGGATGGAGTCAACGCTTTGAGGCCGTCTTCGAGCCAACTGATGCGACTGAGCTCACCGAGCCGTCGTTACACGATGGCGCATAGCTCTGGTGAGCGCTGATATTCCGCCGCTTGCTATTGGATATGATGGTGGCTTTTTTGTGGTTCTCGTAGACGCGAGTGGGCTGGTAGTGAGGCTGTTCCTGGGGTGATTGCTGTGGACGTACCTTTCTACTACCCACGATCAGCGGTAGTCGACGTTGGAGATGCGTATTCTTTTTTCTCTCTTATTTTTTCTCACTCGTTCTCCCTTCCGCATTCTGTTGTTGTTGTTGTTGTGTTTTTTGTCCTTTTTGCTTCTTCTTTGCCCGCCTCGTCCGTTATGCCTCTTCGGGAAATATGAGTTTTCTCCGCGAGTTAAGTGAGAGACCGGGCTGCAAGTAGCCCTAAAGACAGACGATTGCCGTCACGGATCGACCGTTACCGCATCTACGTCGGCGTCATCGCCTTCGCCATCACCGCCATTCCACTGCCACCACCACCACTATCAAAACTACGACAGGGGCTGAACCGCTTCGTGGGAGATTGGTTGAGCACTGACATAAAAACGGAGAGTCGAAGAGCGCGCGTAAGCATGCCAATCCTTCGAAACCGTTGGTGCTCAAAACACACAGAAAGAGAAACAACAGTAATCATCGTCGACTGCTTCTAATCCATCGTAATAGACTTACCAGACGATGGCCGAAAAGAAGCTACATTCGTACAATACGCCAACCAGATAAACATATAGATTGATAAATACATGGATCGAAAAAAGTGCGGCACTAACAAATAGCCACGCTGGTATTCTACGTTTTGTTAACGAGTCGGCGTCACACACGAAGACGCTGATGGTTGAATCAGGGGCCTCCTCAAAAGCATGACCATGTAGGGGATAGCGACCCAAACGCACTGGATTATTTAGACAAATAGGATCATTGGCGAAAAATGAGCACATGTAGAAGACCAACACGGCGACAAACTAAGCACAGACCGACGAATGCAGCTATTTTTATTACTATAAGTACTATTAGAACCGTCAAATAGTCAGGATTTTCCAGTCAATTGTTTTTTCCTGCCGTTCTTCTAGGGAGGTGCTAGGCGTTCGGCAGCTCGCTTGACAGTCCGACAAAACCATTACCGTATGAGCGAACAGGGTGGTTAGCGAAAAACGGGTTAAATACACCTAACGATTAAGGAACCAACAAGCAAAACTAGTATATTCAGGAAATGCGACAATTTGCCCACTCTCTCTTCATCGTTCTTGCTCTATTGTACATAAGTACACAGTTGATATTTCTACGTGGCAAATTAACTCATGTTAGTCGTTCCATATCATTTACCAGTGGGGAACAACCTTGGGCTAAGTAATGTAAACACGGATGAGTTGTCTGATCTTATCTGTACAGGAAGAACGCTAAAGTGTGTACTTCTTCGGTAGAGTAGAAACCCTGATTTTAACTCCTGGCTAAACATTTTCAGTGATGTTAGTTCGATAAGCGTATGCCACAATTATGAATGCCTTAAGCTTCACCTATTTATTTGATAGTACCATCAAGCCTGTATTTGCACATAGTACATACTATTGGCGACATAAAGCCTCAAATAATCTACTCTCACATCCTAGTGTCCTATTGTATTTCAGAAGGCACGGGAGCACGCACCTATATCAGCTTTTGATCTACCTATATAACGGCTCTGCATTTCAGACTAGAGCGCAGGCTGATAGCAGGATAACGTTCCGCGCCCACTAATAGTCGTTCAATTTCACAGTTACTCATGTGGCAAAAAAATAACAGTCACAGGTGAATCTATAGCAAGAATGATAACTACGCAGCCGATATGTCGCCCACCAATATGTTGGTAGATTAGAAGAAACTAGGCCTGTCTACTGGTCCATTTGTCATGCCAAAGCTGTTTCAGGAACTAGAGATAAAACAAAATTTCCTGTAAACTGAACCAGCACTACTGATCAGACGTAATCATTGTCTTGACTTTCGCGTGTGATACGCATACGTGATAATGTGGTTGGCGTCAACATGTAGGTAACAAGGTAGAACAATGCAGTATCTAATGTTTTTTTAACAGCTAAAATGACTGAGTAAAGCTTGTATGATCAGAGTGAATTATAAGAACGAAATTGTGTTCGTTGTTAGAAAAATCATACGAACGTAATGCACGTTCGAGAGCAGAACAAAGTGAACGTAGAAGGAAGACATTGAGGACTAGAGACTTCCGCCGACAAAGTCAAGGCCACCCCCAAACCGAATAAAAGTAAGCTGAGCTGTGATTTGTCTGAATCCATTATCGACAAGCTTGGCCAGATATAACGAGCGCCGTATTCGATCGCTGGACGCCAGGCCAGCTACATAGCGTGAAATTTATAAACAAGCAGCATGCACCTAAGGGTGCTACGGTACGTACGATGGGATTAAGTGGGATAAGCCCCTACCCGTCTACGCAACATATGCGTCCAACTACGTGAACGAAGATCTAATGGGGCCAAGCGGACACTCTTAATTGGACTTAGTGGCAGAAGTCAGAAACCGATTACGATGAAATTCCTCTAATCTCTATCTAGCTTTAACGACAATCAACTCAAAAGACCTTAGCCCTTTCAATTATAAACTCTGGATAAAAACCCGTATTACCGATTCCCCGCATTGCGTGGCCTCATCCCCTATCTCAGTATCACATTTTTGTGTCTTATTATCTCCCCGCAGTTGTTTAACGCGTTAGCGGATTGTTCGAAAGGATAGTATTCCACAGCTCTCTCTCTATAGGTCGGTGACGGCCGCCTGGAAACAGCCAGATTATCAGCCGTCGTTCCGTCTATTATTTTTTGACGACACAAAAGACCTTCTGTCAATCACCTATTATGTTCTCGTTGGTTCAATCAGATACTATGGACGCCGTTGTTAGTCTGTTATCAATACTAGTTCTGATTTAGAATTTCTCAAGTTATTGTCTACGAACCAGTACATCTGACAACTCAGCCCAGATCGGCTCTTCCATCTTACTATCGTAAGCTACTAATACGACTTTAATACATGAAAGCAACCTGTATCGCGGCGATGATTATTACTGATGACAGAAACCGTTATTCAGCCAACACAATGAAGGTCTAGTGCCTGTCCGTTTAACGGCAGGGCCACGCTCACCTAAAACACGTCACTGTAGCAATAATCAGCAGCAGCATGCGTAGTTGTGGCCTAAAGAGCATCTACAAGTGCAAGCAAATGCAAAGTGCAAACCAAGGTCGGTAACCAGCTGGGATAGCCACCCCACGTTCCCTGTTCGCCCCCACTAGTGAGTACCACTAGGCCAATATACTGGGGCCACAATGTCAGGATTTCCTAAGGGAGGTTGTAGCATGGAAACATGCGAAGAGCTGAAAAGTTATTGTCTCATAGATTCATCTGTTCACATCGCGAATTTTGCCACAGACACCTGGTCTGTTTTTCCACTAATAACAACAATAGCAGTACGCAATGCCTGAATGTGCCAAAGTGAAAGGAAAGGAAAAGAATATAGTTATACATTGTTTTCTTATATATAGACTTGTGCACACGGTTGTGGGCGTCTGTGTATGTTTCTGTTCTGTGTTCGCCACCGGACGCCTGTGTGAAACGTGCGAGTGTCTCCACACGAACGTCATCCGAGCTATATACATATAGTGACAAGCCTTGCTGGAGTATTTGTCGCGAAGGGCATGTATGTCGTTCTCTATCCGTGACATTAGAAAGTAACCAATTCCTTTTAAAACAGATCACAAACTCACGATGACACGAATTCTCCTTGGAATATGAGCGATTTACGCCAAGCTGCAACCTAAAATTTTAATGTCGGGCACATTGTTAACACAATGATTTTGTAATCTCTTTTGCGAAATAAAGTCGATAGTTTGCACTGAACAAAGCTTTCGTTGCCAGGCCAGAAGATAGCAAATAAACATGATCCAAGGGCATCAAAAAAAAACGACAAAAAAAACATGTTAGAATGTTTATTTAAGAAAGCTTGTGTCTCAATATCGAATATAAAGGTTACTTTTATATGGATGTTGTGTTACAACAGCTTACAAGAATTTTATTGTATCACAAAAATCAGATCTGGAGACGTCTTGTAGAATCCAAGACATTTGCTCACCGCTCAATACTCTTCACATGTCTCAAGCGGTCTTCCTCGATTTCTGCCTAACTACAACAGCTTTACTGCTAATGTAAACGCCAGTTGGAAAAACGTTCCAAAATTAAGTTCTCCACTGATGGCCGTAGCTGGCTTCAGGTTATCGTGAAACCTTCGTAACCACGAGGAAGCTCGAAATATCTATTTGGGTTAGGTATCGTCGCTGCAGTGAAACTGTGGATTATAGTATTGAACAATACGTTTTTTATCAAGATGCAGAACCGACGACAACAACGTTTAATCCTAAAGCAAGTTTCTAGTCGTTTCTAGTTGTTCCAACTGAAGGCAGGACCTTTGAATAGCTAAACAGCTTTGAATTGATTCATTGGATCATGTGGATCCCTGCTTAGGCGGGACCTCGATAAATCTTGCTTTACCAACACCGCGATACTCAGACCACTAGCAAGAAATCATCATACATGCCAAGAAAGACAAGCGAACGATTCAGGCCTCGATTGAAGCAAATGTCAGGAATGTTGAACGAATACGTTCATCACGGCTCTCTCGGTTGGTCGGTTTCATTTATAAATATCTGTCTTCAGTTAAATGTAGCTCATAAACAGGCAGCACCGATCTATCACTGCGCATGTATATTAAACTAGATTAAAAATATATTTCGTCTTCGTTAACTTAGTTTTTCATTCAAGTTAATTCATTGTGCATCTATGGTCATTTACCACAATCTTTTTTCATTTGACAACCAGTCTATTTATTAGTTTTCGACAGAAATGTTTAGATCTGGCGTAGAGTCCATCCAGGTTTGGGACCCTTTCGATTATGGGACGAATGGTAACTGTTTCATCTACGAGTAATTGACGAAGGTTAAGTTTCATCGGAACGAATTCGGAAGATACGGTCGGTGCAGTAGGTTCCCTCATTAGATTCTTTTTTTACGATCTTGCCATGTGCGGCCTGGCATCGTCGTGTACAAACGTGACTTTGCCTCCTTGTCTTCGTGATGTCAGTAAATCAGAAATCTCTAGGAAAAATTCTTGATTAAAAAAAAACTTTTTGTTTGTGACATAGCTAAAACCGTTCGATTCCGAGGCCACCTATTCTATGAATGTAGCAAAACGCGACTAACTTCTAGCAGGACAAAGGATAGCCGCAATTCTACGATTACGGCAATTAAATGATTCTGCCTTGATAAATCCTGTTATCGATTAGTGAAGCTCAATAGCGCTGACGAAGGAGTGAAGATAGCTTATGTGAGAGCCCTTTACCTTGTGCCGCCCCGTAATATCCACCGAAACTGCCGTTTTAATCTGTACTAGGCCATTTCTTCTAAATATCCCTGTGCTTCTCTGTCGATATGCACAACAGTGATCCAAGATCACGGCTATTCTTTAATTTAGAGACAAATTACAGCTATGATATTTATCTCTGACACGATATTCACCTTTCCACAATTCAAAGGGCGCGTATTTCTGGTTCCATGACACGAGGTGACTTGTAGACCCAAATGAGGATTTACTCACAGTAACGTAACCACGCATGAGTTCCCTGTGTGTGAGTACACTTGCGCCCTACGTGCCCACACACAAACTACTAAGGTTTATATTTGTGGGGCTGGAATGACCTTGCACTTCGTGCCGTGAGTACATTTCTGATAGCCAGCAAAGCGCCAGCAGCTGTGACAGCGGCCGTAGGTGAGAGAAGTGTGCAGAAGTGGCAGCAGCAGGAGAAATATGGGCCACGTCAGGAGTAGACGTTGTGGGCTAAGTTGCCACGCCAAAGAAGTAGTTCAATTTTTATAATATTGCTTTTTGTGTTCTTGTGCGCTTGCCCTAGTGGAGGAGTAAGCTTTAGCAATACGATTTGTGTCGGGCGCGACTGCATTGTTCTCCTTGTGAATGCGATTCCCGTTGCCCCAGAATTGAATTCCCCTTTTTTTGGGCCTAGCCGAAGGGGATCCCTCACCTTATTGAAGGCCGTCTTAGCCGACAATTTAGCGTTATATCTGTGTGCGTGTCTGAGTAGTGCGCGCGTGCTGAACGTCACTTTTGGCGTTTCTGTCAAAGACCCGATATATAAGACCGCTTGTTGTACGCTGCGAGGCGCCTTCAGTCAATTTTTGTCAGCGTTTGAAAAGATACGCTATAGCATTAGATAACATGTGGCTCAGAGTGAGTGTTTCAGCAGCAGTGTGCTGGTAACCAGAAGTTTAAGTTGATCTTAGCAAAACTTAATCCAGGAGTTTTCATGTGTCTATCATAGATATAATAACATTGTAATCAGTCGTATTGAGCGTGCGGTGTGGGTCTTTTTTTGACGAAATATATAACATTTATGAGGCTGAAAAAAGAGTGGTGGTACAACTTTTCACGATCGGATACATGTGAAAATACTAAATTGAATTTGTTGTGTCGATGATTAATCGTGTGACGAGAAGCACGGTATTTGTGATGGGGTTGTGCAAACTTCAGCGAGTAACTGGCTAGATGTTTTTGTGCTGGAATGTTTTTGCCTTTGTGTGGCATTACCGGCCTACAGCTGATATATGCATTTTGTCCAATAAAAATAATCAGCTGTTATTCCTGTTGTTAAGTCCTGCTATCATACACTGAGTAGTGTATGAGTGTCTAAAGAAAATGCTCTCAATCGTCAGTAGAATCAATAAAGTATAACCTGTGGTCATTTGCAAAGACTAGTTATAAGATACATAACAAAGAAATAGACGAAATAAATGTACGTTCAACCATGTTGTCTGTGTTCTAGCTCGTCATTCTCGCCGGCTGCATATTCTCAGTGGTCTTCGCTGGCCACCACAGAAATCATGGAGGCCATTCATCAACAGCTCGCCATCAGGATGACTATGGGAACTATGAGTTCAAGTACGCCATCAACGACGGCTATGGAAACGTGAATGGACGTCAGGAGAAGGGTTCACACGGTCACATTGTCGGATCGTATTATCTGGGTGAAATTGACGGACGCCATCGCAGCGTTCAGTATCAGGCTGATAAACTCGGCTTCAGAGCCACCATCAAGACGAATGAGCCTGGCACGAAGACTAGCGAGCCCGCATTTGCCCCATATATTAATACTGATTTCGCAAAGTCAATACCTTCGGGAGCAATCCACGCAGCTCATGGACACCATGGATATGGACATTACTAAAAGATTTTTTTTGCTAGATGTCAGACGATTTGAAATTTCAAGCATCCCTAACTTTTGTTCTAAACTATGGTTCCATGTTTCTGCTTGCTACGCTAGAATCTAGTCTTTCGTTAAGCTTCACTACTATCTATGATCTCCATTGCGTTGTATGAAGCAAGGTGATACTTACATTTATCCGACTGTATATATTTTTGTAAATAAATTCTATAATTTCGTGCTTTATATCTTGAGTTTAGTTTTTCTTAAATGCGGAAGAATATATTTCGCCTTAATTCCACAATAATTGAACGAAACGTTAATTACTAGGAAGTCCGCTAACATGCTGCTACTGTAATTACGATCTAGCTCATAATAAAAATCCCTCATGGTGAGACTCACTTTTTGACTTTTTTTGACTCACATTTCTGACTTTTACCCAATATTTCGTCCACAGTGAAATGGCTGAAGCAGATTCCTTTTCACTACTCATGTGAGCGTCATGTTAGGTGAAGTACAGATTAGGACTATTCTAGGCATCGCCAATCGTCGCGTTCTACGGTATCGTGACGTATACCTCAACCCAATAAGGGCAAGTTTTGATGCCGTTACTTAAATAGCTATCGAAAATCGTTACCGAGTGAGTCAGATGCGTCAATCGTCAACAATTAATGTAACTAATTAAAATCAAGACGTTCACGCACCTAACGTTCGACGACGAACCAGCTAGAACTTAACTTTTTCTGTTCCGGCGTAGAGCGTTCAAACAGTACTCCCCCCGACTCCCCCCAGTGCATCTATATCCTGGAATAACAAAACAAGCATGTTTAATTTCGACGAAGAGCTTTCTTAATTTTTCTCGTTCATTTTGCGTAAGTGTAAATATGCACACTTTTTGATTTCCTCGAGTGCAGTCCTTACTACCTGACCAACCAGTTCCTTCTCGTTGTCAGGAACAAGGTCTTGGGAGTTTTTGATGAAGGCGCTTATAAAGGTGTTCTCGGCACTTTCACTTTTACCCCTTGGGCACTCGCTTTTTATTGAACCAGCCCTATACATCTGCAGAAAGTACTGCTCGATTTTCATAATCGAATCCTCGCTAAGGTTCATCTGCTTTGCCGTCTCCTTGAAGATCTGGACGTTTCTTTGACAGTGGCTATCGGGCTCCATTCTAAATAGTCTGCGCGATTTGGTCAAATATCTGCTAAGATCAAACGTACTTTTGCGTCTCCAATGTGCGGATTTCCAGTGCTTCGTTCTTTTATACTATTGATTCGATACGAGATTAAACGAGAGCACGAACGACACTGGCTCGTATCAGACAGAAAATGGCCATTAAAGAGATAAAAGGTTTTCTCTCATATTTTCTGCTACCCCATTAGTGCTCGGTATCGTCAAAGATATATGCATCTTCTATCAGGTCACAAAAATGACAATGTACACTGTGAAGCGTATTTCTATTTTTATAAATTGAAAGGCATTAGCCGTTTTTCAGTCGAAGAGGTTCTGTATAGCTCTCATTTACGTACACAAAGCTTAATTTCTAAGTATTTGCATCTTTAGTGGGCGCAGAGTGTCTGTTGCAGAACTTATTTAACTTGCCCTTTCCTCTGTTCTGAGGCGTCGGTATTTTGTTTTCGCTGATTTTTCAACGACTTCGAATGGCTATACCTTGTGAGACTTCTCTCCATTGTCATATAGTCCCGTTGACGGTCTATGGAAATAATGAACCTTTGCAGTCCAATCGTAATACAGCAGTTGCTAAGGGATGGGACTTCGTTGATCAGCAACTGGACACGTATTTGTTTGTGTGGCTATCTTGTGCGACGTTGATGTACTTAGTAGGTTACCGGCCCCGTGTTATCTGACACTCTTAGCGCCGGCCCCGTCTATTTAAATTCGCCCCTTCTAAAAGGTACGCTTCTGGTAGCTTTTGAGATGGTTATTGACGCGTTTCCAAACATTAGGTTGTGATTTTACTATGGGTTCAATCTCAAACCCACTGTCGCCCATCGACGCCTAAAAAGGCACGTATCCTCTCGTCTAAGAGATAGTTACTTTTTTCGGCCATCGTGACTCGGAACATAATTGAACTTTATATTTCGCTATTATCTCTTTTTGGCTTTACGAGGCAGGTTCTAATTCATACCCGGCTACGAACAAGGTCACCATCGGATTTTTGATAGCATCTTTTAAGGCAAGTCTGAACTTCAGAGCTGACCAGAATTTTTCGACAAATGCTTTCCGCATGTCTGATAAAAAGCCACAGAATTTCTCTTGGGATCGTGCGAAGTGAGCACAGTCGGGTGACGCGTACGTCGTGCTGTCGTACACGACCGAAGAACGGCTAAATGTACTTATCAAGCTTTAAAATAGGCGTAAGATTTTGGGCAAAACAAACTGCAGAAAATGCACTTACTAACAAGGCTCTACGAGAAAAAGGTGAGTGTTGTTTATACAAGAGCCGACCTTTACCTATTCCCGAAACGTAAACATCACTGCAAGAGCGTCGGACAGCCTGCCGGGCCCTTCACGGGAAAAGTATATATTGGTGGCGAATACCCGTGTCGAGTTAATTACAATTAACGAAGAAAAAAAATAAAGAATGGGTGAGGCTTGAGTTAATTATTAATAATAGCCTCAATATGCTGAACAGGTTCCGTTCAAGCCAGTAAGCCCAAGGGGCTTCAGGATGAGTCGTGGTCGAGCTCTTTTTTAAATAGGTTAATATGTAATTGCATTTATCAGTCAATAATCCTTGGTAAGTTCGATGATTCAAAAGCTTCGTCACAAAACTGCTGTCACTGTTAGAATAGGTGATTTATTAACGTTCCAATGTATTACTTCGAATACCTTGTTAAGCATAACCTAATACAGTAGAAATAGAAAGAAAAAGAAAGAAAAGGAAAGAAATTTTCATATCGATTTTTAGGTGCCCCGAGTGAGTTATAGGTCAGATAGGAATGGTTCAGTCTGCTAATCACAAGAGGAGGAAGGCAATTCAGGATTAGTGGGCAAAAACGACTAATTTATATATAAAAAAAAAAGGTTTTCTCTTTGTTGAGGATCAGCTCTGTGGGTGAAATAATTGCGATAGATGAATTGTGTGTTCGAGTGACATTTACCTATGTAATTGATAGTAAATGGAACACAATGATTTTCGCTGTGATCCCCAAATTTGCAGTGTGGAATGGTATTTACCCACTTGGCGTGGCCAGAAGTTAGAAGGGGCTTACAGGGGCAGGGATGCGTTAGTACCAATATATGAGCTTTAATGCCCGAATTTTTAATTTGATAAAAGGAATGGTTATTTGTAATAAAGGGTCACAATTTGTAAGTTGTGAAACGAAAATATTATATTTTATTTTAGGGTTTACCTATTTATGCACAGACGTGCATAAATAGATAAACCCTAAAGACTTTTTCTTTCCTATACCGCCGGTAGGCAACGTACACTGAGCAAATTGGCACTCGACATTGGATTCTGCTAGCAACTTCACGTACTCTTTTTACCTTTTGCCCGACTGCCATACCTGTAATGTTGCATAAAGACTTAAACAATGGCAAGAAGTAAAAAGTATATGTGGGAGTGTTCCTTCGAAATTTTTTTTTATTCACGAATACTAACAGTACGGCTAAACATCCAAGCCTATCATCAATCAAGAAATTAATGTTTACATTTTTTAAATACATAATACACCTATAAATGGACAATGAAGTTCAAATGTCTGTGAAGACTAAGCTTTTTCTTCGTTTTGCATTAGCTATACTTACATATCACTTATATATATATTAGTATGAGATTTACAAATTATGTAAAATGTCAATAGTGGGTTAAAATTACAAAATCGTATATAATACGATATTTATATAATAAATATTACCTTAAAACTGAAAATGTAGTGACCGGACATTTAACGAGCCGTGGTATATATATTTCCAAATGATACTGCTGAAGAACATGGTGATACCCGTTGAACCGGGAGTGAACGGCTGAGAAAACAAACCACAGTTGTCCTTAGTAAAAAGAACTTGTCGTAATATCGCACAGCATATTCAGCACCGGGTTTTACTGTTAGCGCAAGGTAAGCTATATTAACAGCGACCGACCCCAGTGGCGCTTACCGTCAGGGTCATTTGGGAATACGTAAAATCCCAGGGGCGAGAAAAGTAAAGGGGATAGGGTAATTTAAGACAGATAGGGTTTCATAATAGACAAACAAATCTGCTCTATATTCCAGTTACTAATGATGATGTTGCTGGTCTAAAACAAAAACCATTGCTGCATTTTCTCTCCACTTGCGCCTTCTCCCAGCAACTGGGTCCGACAATTACGCGGAGTTGTGGCGTCCGCTATAGGACGCAGAAGGTGATGCGCTTCAAGGCGTCGTCAGTCCGAACCAGTACGTTTGCTCACCGTTTGATATGAATGAAGAAGATCATGGTCAGGGTGGGTGTTCCGGTGACTAGCCTGGAATAGCTACAGTCCGAATGAAGAGATTCGGCGGCGGCAAATAACGTCAGAGCGAAGAACAGGCAAAAGAATCTTCTACTGAAGCAGAGATGTCTGTTAATAAGCGATTACTCATTCGTGTAATTGACTCCTCTCCTCTAGTGCGAACTAGATGACTTCTAAATGTGCATAGCGGGTTGATTAAATCGTTAAACTTACTTGTTAGTTGCGCACTGATCTTTGGTATTGCTGTTGTTGTTTTCCAGCTAGTTTGTTTCTCTAGTTCAAACCCAATGTTCGACTGACTGAAGTTGTTCGATATATCAGTACATACTAGTATCAGATTGTACTGGTTTAATTTCTAACCTAGTCCTGATTTTTCCAGCCACCCTACACTCGCCGTAAAGTTTTACCATGTAGGGCATTGTAGAATCGATGCTGCGATTCCATAGCACTTCAAATCAAATTTCCAATAGATATTTCCTGTTGTAGGTCGCCGCAATTAATGCTCATAAATCGGTTCGATACACAATACTTAGAATGCGTTTTTAGAAAACGTTTTTTTTATAGTTTTATCCGGACTACATATCAGCCGTTACTGATTAACGGCGACGTCAGAAACTGCAATATGGCGTTTCGTTCTCACTTTTCTGTGCCATTATTTTAAAGTTGCGGTGATTTCCAACATAAACATCGTTTCCAACATACGTTGTCCCCATGGCATTCCTATAAACAAAATGTATAAAAAAAATATATACATATAAATTCATAAAAACAAAAAAAAATACGAGTATTATGCATCGTAAAATCTGTACTCTTCCGGGAAATCTGAATCACCCATACTAATTTACTTTATAGTATTAAAATATAAGTATATTTCGTCCTCTTCTGTCGCTGTCGTAGTGGGCTACGTATTCTCAGTGACCCTCGCTGGAATTCGCGGGGGCCATTGAAAGTTGCCAGTCATCAGCCGCTCGCCACCAGGATGACTATTCCATGGTTTTCAAAGTCACCCTGGTTCAAGTACGATATTACTGACGGCTATGAGAACGCGAACGGGCGTCAAGAGAAATGCTTAAATGATTATGTTTTCAGGAAGTGAGGTTGACGGACGTCACCGTAGCGTATAATACCAAATAGCCAAGTTAGGCTTTGGGGCTATCATTAAGACAAACGAATTTGGCACTAAGAGGAGTGAGCCATTTGCTCCATTTACGAACACGGCTTTCAGAAAGCCCGTTAAGAACCATTCATCATCAGTACTACCATAGGTAGTCATCAGAAAAACCAACGAAAATAGTTGTTTATATAATTATTTTCCCGTAATATGGAAAACCTCACGTTTCATCTCACTTCAGCTGCTGTATCTCAAAGACATAGTCAGAGGACCTCCATGTTCTTATTTTCTACGTGATGTTTAACTGTCTGCCATGGAGTCAGCAAATGAAAATGTCGAGTCGTGTATAATCCTAGCATGTTTAGCTTGTATGTAAGTCATACTTTACGTTATAGATTCTGCGCCCAAAGTGACAGTTGCTCTGCATAGGTCACAAGTTTTTCAATATCGAGGATTTTTTCCTAACTGACATGAATGTGGCGCACTTCAATAAAGCGCGCCATATTCGAACGATTGTACGGGTGACTAGGACATGTTATTGACGTATTATCGAGTTTACGTAGTACTGCAAGTAAACTTTAGCTTTTCTGTACGGCTACAAATAAGGTAGTTATTTTATTTTTCATAAGGACGCGTTGCTTTCCATTTGGCTCCTACTAGAAACAGTTGTATACTCACTGCTGTGGAAGCTAACAATGACGCCCAAACAGTTTAGTTGGATTCAAACAAGCGCAATGCAGAATCAGGGTACATCAGCAATTGGGACAAACATGAGGTTGCTTCTTCCACTTTTAGACTGACTTCAGAAATTCGACCTACGGTTTTTCAATTTAATAAGCTAGCACTCGAGACCTATTAGGAAATCTGGACCGAATTTTAGGTCTGAATTTGACAAGTGTCGGCGCTTCGATTCATGCAACAGTGTAAAATATTTTTTTTAAATGCTATTAGTTCGGTATCTGTTCGTCAGTGGCAACCTAGGCTACTAGGCACACTTTTAGCAGATTTTTTAAAAAACACTAATAGTTCACATGACGTATTCGTGTATTGCTCGTAAAAACCTTGCCTAGCTTAATTTTTAATTATAACACATTAGCACTTTAAATTAGTGAGCAATTTATTAGCGTGTAAGATTATTGGCTTCGCATTTTCCAATCTGTTTCGATACCAGGTACTTGACGGATAAAGAACTTCTGGCTTACAGTTTTTTTTTGTGAAACGTTTGTTAAGTGCTTGTACAAGATTATTTAGGGTTACTAAAACCTGGTATTAATATTTTTATAGTTCAACGTTCCATAGTCCTGTTATGTAACCTACACTTAAGGTAATTTTGTTAATTTAAGGGGCTCATTTGTTATTTAGTGCAACAATCAGCCGTAAAATTCATTATAGCTACTTAAATAGTGTCAAACTAATACCTTGATCTCATTGAAATAAGTACTCGTATCCACATAGTTGTGGCAAGACAATATGTGGCCACTAACATGAAACATATGTCAGAAAATTCAAAAGAATAATTTCCCTACAATATTTGATTTGTTAGAAAAGAGACTATGGTCGTTATTTAGTAGATGGTAGTAGCAGTTCGTCTAGCTTTTCACATACAGCGTATTGAAATGAACATATAACCCTACATAAAAACAAGAACTTCTTTATTAATTAATTACGCAGTGGTAACGTAGGGTCAGCAAAAATCTAATAAATCTAATAATAATAACATACTAAATCATTTGTAAGCAGATACTTTTCCTCTATACGGCTACAAGAACAGTAACCACGCTACTTTAATAAGCAATGTCGGTTGGAAACGAAAACGTAGTAGTTATGTAAAAAAAAATAGTACTGGTAAGCCTAGAGCCTGTCGGACGTTGTAGGCGCATTGATCTCATTCAAGACCTCACTGTCCTTTAAATGCCCATTAATAGACAGTGAACGAGTCGGACACGGAGTGTCAATTCGAAGTACCGAATCTGTCCCTGTGGCCACAAAGCCGGTTATTACCGAAAAACATCTATTGCAGGGTTGATGATCCGCTGGTTCGTGTCAAACGGGTCGAAGGTTGACAACAAATGACTTTCTACTGTCAGCATCAGATTGACGTACTATCTTACGTCCCTCATTAATATATTGTGCTACATTTACTTTCGCTATCCACTCTACGCTGAACAGAGTCCCAGACGAACTATTTATTCTCGACGAACACCGCGGTACTATCTGCTCGCTGCACTCGATGACAACTACCAAGTACTTTTGGCTTCTCTGGTAGGCGAACGTCACAGAACCGATCAGTTCGACAATAAGATCTAAGGGAAAAAAAAAACATTTTATTCACAAAAGCGCACACAACTGGCAAATCTATAGCCGATTTAAAAAACGAGCCTAGCAATTATCTCAAAGTGGCGCCAGCCCTTTATTTTTTAAAATTGTTGGCTACTACCCGCAAAGTACTACCTATACGATGTTTATAGGTGTTCCGTTCAATCCACGTCATACCCGGGTTAATTTTTTTGATCAGCTGACAGCAATTGCTGTCCATGACGCTATAATTATTTAATTTTCACATTTTTAACAACGAACGAAATTTTGTTCTGTTAACACCTGTCCCAGAATCGAGTCCTGGGTCGCGCACGGTAGCCGCAATCACAGTCGTCGAACCCCCACGCCCTTACCTATTCTACGCTTTTGTCTACCACAAGAAAAGCTCACTGCGCGCGATCAGTCCGCGCCCGTCCAACGAGACACTGGACAGCTATAAAACAGTCACAAAAGTAGTTCAATTTTATTGTGGTACGCATATCTCTGCTACATAACACCAACGAAGCAATGTTCAAAGTGAGTGCTTTAATCGTTGGACACAGGATCAGACGTTGTATTACCGTTGTTTAATATATTGGATAGTGATGTTTTATTGGTTTTGAATATGTCGTTTGATGTTAGGTGCGTTTTGGGCCTTTTCATCTCGGAATTTCGCTGCTGTCGAACCTGACAGAAGCTCAGAAGTACCTTGAAACATGTTCCTTCCTGTACACTAACGTTGAGTGCACATGAATGATCTCGAGTGTACGTCTGTGTTTTGTTTAGCTAACGATTAGACCTGTATTTCGTTTTGTAGCTCGTTGTTGTAGCCGCTTGCGTCTTTTCGCTGGCCCTTGCCGGCCACTACGGGGGTCATGGAGGCCACTCCGCCACCGCGCGCCATCAGGACGACTATGGAAATTATGAATTCAAGTACGATATCAAGGACGGCTATGGAAACGTGAATGGGCGTCAGGAGAAGGGTTCACACGGTCACATTGTCGGATCGTATTATCTGGGTGAAATTGATGGACGCCACCGTAGCGTTCAGTACCAGGCTGGTAAGCTGGGCTTCAGAGCCACAATTAAGACGAATGAGCCTGGGACCAAGTCTAGTGAGCCCGCATTCGCCCCGTACATTAACACTGGCTTCGGAAAGTCAATACCTTCGGGAGCAATTCACGCCGTTCACGGCCATTATGGCGGACACTATGGTGGACTTTATTGAAAGGGCCACCGCTGTTCGACGGCTTGAGGCAGATCATGATAACGCTTTCACGAGTCACAGACACCGACCGATCTGTCCGCGCACATCTTCTCCTTAGCTGTACAGATAAAAGTGCATTTGCTTACTTGCTAGCTCACCTCCTATTCTGTAGGACTTTTTGTTTAAATAGTGCTAGTGACGTATATTCTACCCTACATCTGCCATATGTCCCTAACTGTAAATATGATAATAAATTAATTTATTATTTCATACTCAGCGCAATGTACGATTCCTTACTTCAGCAACAATGAACGCGAGCATCAGCGTGCGCGTGTGGGTTTTACCGAATAGGCACGTGGACGGCTCTGGCAGTTGATGTACTTGTGAGCTCGGAAAGCGTAATTTTTCTTCCATATTTGAAAACTAGTTGGACTGATTCTTTGGTAAGGGGATTTTTTAAATAGCTTTTCCACATTTCACTGTTATGCAAAATTATGATAGTGCGAACGCTGCTTTATGCCATCGCAAGACAAGGTTCTTCTAGAGCGCTTAGTAGCGATATCACGCATGTCGAGGCAGGTAACTGCGAATATCACGATAGAAAGCTTCTGTAGAACTATAAAAAAGTGTATATTCTACTTCGTTACATTTCTCAACCAAGTAATTAATTGTTGCCATAGGCCCGCCGCGTTTTAGGCCGACTTTTTGACCGCAAATGGCTCTACTGGTTACTCTAACAACCGCACGATACGCTTTTTTCAAAATATATGCTTAAGAAATACATGTGATGATAATTAGAAGCAAACAACAATATATGTGCACTTAGGGTTTTCCGTTAGACTGTTGATTTGAAGATAGAAACCTAATCTTGCCTTGTCTAAACATATCCTTATAAAAATGTAATAACGTCACAACCTAATTTTATAAACTTACGAATTTTAATGTCCCCTCAAGAGACCTCTCAATCTCCAATCAATCAAATGTCCTCTCAATCAAAAATATCTTTTTACAAGATTTGAAATCCGCCAAATGCTAATTTTAAACTATGTACGTCTACTACAAATGTTGAAAGCAAGCAGATAACAACGCCGACATTAGATACGTCTAGATAAGAAAAACCAATGGCAGACTAATTAAATAGAGAGCTCCTTCGAAAACCTGGTATTTATACAAAGCACTACAGAAAGAATCCATGTGACCTGTGTAGTTTCGTTGACCCGTTAATGCATGAATATCAGAAAAATGGGTACTTAACCCACAAGATGAATTTTGGATCACTTAGATAATAGTTGACAGTGTTCGTAATACCAGGCCCGAATGGCTGTCCTCACTTGACCTGTGCCACACGGAAACACGGCGGTGTTAATCGACCAGCTCGGGCTCAGTGATAGCGAAGTCCAGATAATGATATAGTAGTCTTGTCAATAAATTTTTTCAATGTAAACCGCATGTTTGTCACGCATGTTCCATCGTCACATCTGGTGGTAAAACATTATATATAAAACCGTCCGCATTACGGTTAAACATAGGATGCACAACTGAGACGTATCAAGTCTTTTTAGTTAGTCTATGTTTATATGGCACTGGTAGCAAAGTAGCTCGATGTGTGCTTTCTTCCCAAATCGCCTGTCAATTTTAATGACGCGCCCAAACGAATGATAGCGTCACAGGCGTTTAAAGACGAGAGCACCACAGTATGGTACGATGTGGTGCCAAGCGTACCACATACGTACCATAAATACAGTGCAATTTTTTATGTATGTCAACAGGGAAACAAATGCTTTCAGACAGGAGGGTTTTATTACGAGTTTTCCTCGTTGGAGCAAACCTAGCGAACCAAAATAATGAAAATCGGCTGAACGGTTTTTCGAAATTTTTCCAAAAAACAATATATATACTTAGATTAGGTATGAGACGTGGGACAATATATATGTCTAGCTGCAACCAACATGTGCATGAGCTGATTTAAGTAATCAATACAGTCAGATATTGTTAGAGTGATTTCTTCTTCGCGCTTATTCTTAAATCAATACAATTTCAAGCAGACAACTTATTGATGTTTATCGTGCGAAAATTCAGAAATCAAGTTAATCTAATTAGATATCGATGTGAAAACAGAGACGCTGTGCCTTTGTTCCAGAAAGAAAAAATGTGAAACGTTTTAAATGACTAAATATAAGCTTGTGACTGGATTACTAAACCTTAACTTACCTGAATCAAACTTTTTATTACCTTAAAACTTACCTAATCCCTAATAAAATATGAAGGAAACTGGCATTTAATTATTATTATTGAATTTATTGAGCATATTATTGAATTAAGAAAAAATGTTTCCAACGCGCATCACGCAGCCACACAACACACAGGCACGTATAAACATCCTCATACAAAGCGGTCATCTACACAAAAACAAAAAATCTTCCATATCAGTAGCCTTCACTCTACAGCGACAAGCCTGTTGTTCTCCGAACGCTCATCTAACGAAATAAACAATCGAATGTGAATTCTGCAGATCAAACGAAATACCGGTGTGTACACTTCTTCCAGACAGAGCAAGTTTAAAGTAGCAAAAATTAGAAATAAAAGCTTAAAATTTGAGGGCTCCAATCAGATTATGACTAAATAAGAAGCCAGCCAGGACGGCCGGAGCATGCATACTTCAGTCACTTCTGCCACGCTCCACAAGCTATTTCGAGTAAAACGTGCAACGTATGAGCTTAAAATCAACCATGTATAGCAAGTTACGCAGGTTCGAAGTCCTAAAGTGCTAAAGCACCACAATGAGAATGTCATGATGTTACTCCGATCCAAGTTTTCGGGCGTTAGCTTATAGAATGCAAATGGTCCCAGTGGTTCAGGAAGCCGACGTTATCAGATCTCTTCGTTGAGCTTGGGTAAGAAAACCAATGATGATGTAAGAACTAAGGTACACCCCGATAACTTCGGTGAATGGCCAAATGGGGCGATGTGGGCATAGGTCAAAGCGTATTACGACAATGATGATGCTGGTGCTGCTCCTGATAATATATGGACGGTATAACTAAATGTGAATAGCCCGAATAGGTCATCAACTGGTTACCTAAATGACTAGAGTAAGAATTAAAATTGCCGTACGGATAGTACTGCCCATGATGATATCGGGCATGCACGTCAACAGGACAATGATAGGATATTTTTCATGAGCTTAGCGTGACATCGGTACTTATAATTTTACCCTTTTGACAGAGACATCACAAACCCTTAGACACCAGAGACAATCGGAAACCCCCAAAAGTTAAGGTGCCAGTTGTAGCTTTTCGTTTTACTGTCTTGCTGGTAAAATGGTAATTCTTGACAATAAAGCTCACTGCTTGAGGAAAGCAAAGAATCAATCTGAACTTTGAAGCCGTCTTCTTCTAGACATACGCATGTACTCTGGACGTATTTAATTCCAGTTCACGGATTTCTTTCAGATTCGTCAGTATACTGTTTGGACTCGTCAATCTTGTGTTTCTCGCGATATATTTCGTGATATTTTCCCCTTTGTCTCGGAAAAATGTAGCCGTAATCTTTGTGGAAACTGAAATGCATTACTGCTGCACCTCTCAAGATCTCTTCCGTAAATCCAATAACGCCTACGGCCTTCAAAGCAATGAGCTGAATATGCATAAATCTAACAGCCGATGACATTGATTGGAGCTGTACTTAGGTGATGGCTATAGTAAAACATAAATAATGTGACGTATGGCAACGGAGGGCTTAAACCAGCGACTAACCAGTGTTTCCACTTTTGACTAAAATTCGCTCATAAGGGAAGGCTCTTTTGTATATCGTTTTAGACCAGACTAATAGTTCTAAAAGGGGGCTTGGCTTTTTAGGATTTCGGCCTGGCAATGGTCCCTGCATTAAATGCCCAAGATGCTTTTTAACTACTGAACATTTAAGCGTTACGTGATACTCGCAATCAATTTGGGTAGATTAAACAATCGTCTGTAAATAGCTGTTTTCACGTGCGGATCTTAAAAATGCGACGAAGTACGCAAGATGACAAAATCGAATCAGGTGTACACGAAAGACACAACCTTCTTAACAAAGTTTTGTAAAACAAGTTAGCTTTCTTGTTTGAAAAAGGTTAGCATTAATAAATCAAGTTATTCCGTTCAACGCCTATTTTTTCCCAATTTTTCAAGCCTTTCTAATTCTGTTTGCGCAGGGCACACACTAGTAATACTAAGGTCGGATTTGTTGGCAACATTGTGGCCTTCTGGTCTATTACCTACATTCTCATGCAAACTTGCAGGGTTTTTCATAATACCTACAAAGACGAATCTAGTCCAACATATCCGCTAGATTACGTCGTCCTCCCTTACGCATCATCACGATCCAGACGTTCCCAAACAGTTCATGCGTCGGGCACATGAAGTGTGGGATTCCACGCTTTTGTTTAACGTAATATACGCACTAAATCTTTACCCATTGAAGTTGGCTGGTATTAAAACCCGTGAGGTTGTCATCACGTTACATTGAGAGAGTAGATCCAACTTTTGTTAGACATGGTCGAACATCTGTATATTGGATCTGAGTTGGCTATGACTAGGTATTTACAGGAAACGTGGCCATTGGGCGGTAAATGAAAACGTGGTACAGACGCCACCGAATGGTTGGGTACATAGAAACATTATTGCTAGCAATACAGTCGTCCTCATTATTCTATTATATGTACGGTACGTATTTCTTAGTTGAATATATAAGAACATATTGTTGTCAATTATCTGCCCGAATTTTCTACAATTGTTCGAGCAGATGATTCTATTAAAATAGTCACCCAGGTTTACCCTGCCTCAGTAAACGTGGTTTAGTACACGAGCCTTCTGATCTGGACCTACATCCATCTATTAAGCTAGACAACCTCAGATTTTCCATTCTGGTTTCAGACGGAAGGGTTGTCAACCTAATTTTTTCCGATAGAAAACCCATTCGAACTTGTGCTGGCACATCGAGCGGCCCAGTCATGATATAGGGTTCCCCTTACACTATGCTGATGTAAAATAGAAAGCCTATCTTTTAACTAAATGATTTATACCTTATAAGTAGTTAGTTAGGTGATTTTATTCTTGGAAATAGTAAGTGTATAACCGCCAATGTGAAACTAGTCGAACGTACGCGTTATACGAAGAGCATCCGAAAATTCCATGAATCCTTGCCCTGGCTTTATTGATTAGTAACAACCTTAAAAGCCGTCCCATTTACAATTTTGCGACATTCGCTTCCTTTTGTTGTCGTATCCTACAAAGTGGAGTTCGCTTACGCTATTTACTGAAACGAAGAGACAGGAATTGTCCGCTGAACTACTATAGCCTTTGGCAACAGCGCAATATTTTAACAATAATAGCCCAGTTGATTCTAGAGCGCTGCTGTTGAAAGAGCTATAAAAGACAGGGGCGTCAATGTATACAAATCTATTACAGGTATGCTGTTTACAACTCTGTTATCCTAGACGTACTGTCGTTGCTATGATGCTTGGTTAGACCAGCTGCGTAGGAACGATCGTTTGAAATCAACTGTTTCCTGTATTTTAGCTCAATAGAGAGTGTGTAGGGAAAAGGTTGGGCAAAGTACACAGAATAAATTGTTGGTAGGGATAGCTAAGAAGGTAAATCTCCCTAATCTCGAGTCCGCTCGTCCAGTGTCAAAAACGACGATATACAGAAGCGAGTTAACGCAAAACAAAAACAGGCGTTAATTTCAACATCGTTGATAACCGTCATTATGTAACGATGGCAAAATATATTTAATTATCGATTTTAACAAAGACTAAGATATTACGGATTCCCTTTTTTTCAGTGGTTTGCTCGTTGGACCGGACAGGCAAGATGTCACAAAAAATAGCGCTTAAAATAATGTATAATAAAAAAAAGTATTATTTCGAATTTTATCTTGGTAGCATAGTGGGGCTTATCAAGCTCCACGATTGCTGGCCCATGGCTGGTCTATAGTATGCATGGGCTAACAACGTCCAATTGCTCGAATTTTTGCGTTATCTTTTAAATACGTCCTATCGCTATTCGATTTTAAATAATGATATAACACAACATTGCACGTCTAACGGTAAACAATCTATTTTATCTTAACGGCGCAGCCGCTATTTCTTCACTTGATTGATTAGCGCCCGTTTGTCACAAATTATGTCAACTGTTAGATAACGCGCTGAGGCAATTATCGGTGAATGATCTGCTCCTTCGTACCCCAATATACGAAACATTTTCACGAGCTCAGTGGGGGTCACGTGTATCGTTCGTACAGTATGTCATTAGACATTATGGGCTAGCGTAAAAGTAGATGTAAACATGCCCATTATTAGAAAATTAACGAGACATTTCCTGCAGAGTCGTTGGTCGTATTCCGTTGCAATATCGTTAACAATTGCAGCAGACAGCTGGTATCGTCTAGCTCCCTTGGCAACTTCCTTG